ATACTAAACATGAAAGCTGTCTGAAATACAATTCTCAGAAAGGGATTTTGAGGTTAAAATGTGTACGGAAATTTCTAGTGATCTCAGTAACAGAACAAGTATTTGAATATAAATCCAAGTTAATGAGATGATATTGTCACAGCATATTATAAAAATACAGTGATTAGTTACATAAATTAATGGGTTACTTGGTTACACAGTTGAAGTCCACTGCTACAAATTATTAATATAATCCACAAGTGTTCACTGTTGGCATCGTGTCTACTGTTAAAAGCTGTGCACCGGTTGTAGAGTAATCTTCGCATGAGGAAAAGAAGTTCCTTGCCGAAAATCCAAGATATGCAGCACGGTTAATAGTGAAGCAAGTAGGGAGTATAGACTAGAGAGAAGACGAAACGGCCAGCAGTACACTTTATTTCATATTGTACTGGGAAGTTATCTATATTCCAACATGAATCGTTTTAAACAAAAGTTATGTACAATGTTTCCAATTTCAACATCTAACCAAAGAGTGTACAATCATATGGTTACGTACTCCACAAATGTATGGATAAAAGGTGTAATGTTAGCATTCATGTTATATAGGGCATAAAATGAATGGTCCAATAATTGGTTTAATGTAGACCATTGCATTTTATAAATCCTCCCCTCTCATCTAGTTCTTCTGTTATATTCAAAGTACTCGTTTTTCATTATCGTATGTTGAAGTATTGTGGGTACACGATTATACTTCGTTGGTTTGTCTGTTAAATGAGCGAGGAGTATCTCCTCATATCCAGCATCCAAACACACATCTTCCAGTCTACCTATCTAGTTGTAAGCAACATTTACAAATGTTTTATTATATCCTAATCGATACATTGACATTATCTCTAAGTGACTACTGTGTAAATAAAATTATCTATGGCTTTTTATTCCTTTATGTTCCCAGTGGAACATAGGGCTTTAAGCTAGAGGCTTGAAGCTTTGGTAGCAGTGTTGTTTATTTTTACGGGATGGTGTTGCTAGCGTCATGCCCAACCTTCCCTCTTTAGCAGTCTTATTATTAGCTTGGCAAGGTAAAGGAGGGTGTTGGGCGGGGATCGAATTCCGGGTCACCTGCGTGGTCGCCGAGCACTCTACCCCTGTGCCATCGACGCACTATTTATAGCTCAGTAGTCAGCTTTTTGTGGTAATTACCGTGAATTGGCAGAAGTTAGAATTCAAGGACCATTGGATCGGGTCCCAGTGGCTCTGTGGTCTACGAGCTCGCCTTGTAACCAGAAGGCCCTGGGTTCGAATCCCGGTGGGTGCGTACTGCTGAATAGTCACAAACTAGGACGAAACAGCTGTCCAGTACTCCCAGGTTTTCCAGTGGTCCTCTAACCGATGTCAGCTCATGATGAAATCCTCCATGCAATCAAACAAAATCCCGACAAAACCAATACTTGAAAATATATCTTATTCTCTAACTGTACTGCTGAAATGTCCATTACTGTTTGTTTACGTTAATTGAATGTGTGAAATACAAATAATTCCCACTGAATATTAATTTCTGTTGTCTCCACGTTATTCTCTGGTTCACGGGGATTCGGCCATTGCACATTACAATTATGAATAATTAGTACTTTTCATTATAAAATATTTAAATTAATCCCAGCGTGTTAAGAAAATCAAAACAAGATTTTTCTGAACGTTTCGCTGTGTAAGCCACAGCTTCTTCAGCAGATTTATTCGGATTTTAATAATCATCAAAATATATAGTCAAAAATTTTTTACATACATTACAGTCAGTTTGTCTGAAGGTCATTTGTCTATGGACATTTTTACCAATAGAAAATATGTAAGCAGTCATCACATATTTTGTAATGACTAATGTCAAGTTGATGTTGTGTTCATTCTTGTATGGTTAATTTGTATAGATTAGTTTTGTATGAGTGTGTGTGTGTGTATGTATGTTATTTGTCATATGGAAAATACGTGAATTCATATTTGATAAACATGTTTTAAAAGGTCATGGAGGCTCATAGAGTGCTGATTGATTTTTTCATTTGTCTTGCTTCATAAGAGTTTGCCATATAGGTGATAAGTCTATCCCATCCTTCCTATTCACTGCATTCGATGTGGTTAAGATGTGCAAGGCTTCAGAAGTCAATCTTTCTTTATGTGAATGAAATCCTCTTCCAAGAATTTCGACATTGTCGAAATCAATCTTATGTCCGCTTTCTATAGCATGCATTGCTATAGCCGATCTTTTTTCCAGACTTTTTAGTTCCACTTCATTTCTAGGTGGACGTTTCGTGCATAGTCTATGTTCATTCACTCTGACCTTCATCTGCCTACTGCTCTCCCCTATATAGCATGCATCACATTCGGAACACTTTATCTTGTAGACACAATTACTTTGTGCCATTCTGGGAACTATATCCTTGACATGTACTAACGCCTTCTCTAGAGAGTTAGAAGGTTTGACATAGACTTTAATATTATATGAAGCAAATAATCTTTGAAGTTGTTCAGCTGTGTCCTTTCGGTATGGGATGGCTATCGTGGATAGCCAGGATTTTTCAATTTTTGGTTTTCCCTTATGCTCCTTTCTATTGATAATATTATCAAGTAGCTTTTCAGGATAACCATTTCCAATCAAAACCTGTTTTATGTTGGATATCTCGTTCTCCATGTCGTCATTATCTGTTATAATGTTTCTAGCTCTGTTAACGAGATTTAAAGCTACTGAAACTTTCATTCCTATTGGATGATCTGATTGAAAATTCAAATACTTGTTGGAATGTGTCGGCTTTCTGTATATGGTAAACTTTAGCTTCTCGTCAGTCTGTCTTTTTACAAGACAATCCAGAAAGTTTATAGTTCCCTCAGCCGATTCTATTTCATTAGTAAATTCAATATATTCTGAGATTAAGTTGATTTCTGTTAGAAAGTTTTCTTTTTCAGCTTTCTTTATGATGATAAAAGTGTCGTCTACATATCTGTACCATATTCTAGGATGACAACTAAAACTTGTCAATGCTTTCTTTTCTAGAGCTTTCATATAAAGGTTAGCTACAATTGGAGATGCTGGTGAGCCCATTGCAACTCCATTTGTTTGACAGTATAGTTTATCTTTAAAGGTAAAATAGGTAGATTCCAAACAAAGTTTTAAACATTTTATAACTTCATCTATTGATAATAAAGATTTACTTAATACTTCTTGATTGTTTTCAAGTTCATATTTCATAATATCAAGTGAATCACAAATCGGAATACTAGTAAATAAAGAAACCACATCAAAACTTGCCATAATTTCGTCTTCTTCAATAATTATGTCCATTATTTTCCTTTTAAATTCCTCAATATTTTTGATGTTCGAAGGAATATTGTATTGAAGTGGTTTCAGTATTCTTGATATGTATTTTGATAAAGTATATGTTACTGAATTGGTAAAATCAATTATTGGTCTTAAAGGAACATCTACTTTATGTATTTTCGGTCTTCCATAAAATCTGGCGGCCGTGTTTGTCTTGGGAGCTATTGAAAACCAAACTGAGTTCCCTAGTTTTGGTTTCAATTCTCTAAGTATATTGCATACTTGGGCTTTTACTTTGTTCATTGTACTAGACATTTTGTTTACTGGTACTAATGTGTAAGGCCCTGCTTCGATATGCCCCATGGCTTTTTTGTCATAGTCCTCTGTATTAAGAATTACTGTGATATTGCCTTTGTCAGCTTTAGTTATAACAATAGATTTATCTGATCTTAATGTTTTTAATGCATGACGTTCGGCCTTCGATAAATTTGAAATGCCCTGCTTTTGATTCGACAGGATACATCCAACCTTCTGACGTAATTCATTAGCTTCATCATCTGTTAAAAGATTTAATGTAGGTTCAATGATGGGAGCTAATTCTATCGCTGTCAGTGGTTTTCGAGTTATGTTGAAGTTTAGACCTTTTTCAAGTAATGCTGTTTCATGTACATTAAGTTCTCTATCTGATAAGTTGCATACTGTTCTTGTGTTTGTCTGTACATTTGATTTATTTGGTCTGGCGTATGCTGCTTTCGGATTTATAAGTTTTTCAAACTTTCGAATTTGTCTTTGTTTCGTAGCATTGAAATGAGCAGACTTTCTATCTTCGAATAATTGTGTAATTGTAGTTAGAAGATCTTTGGATATAAGAATATTTAGACAATCATCAATATTATTAATTCGATATTGATAATGTTGCATTACTAATGTACATTTATGTATCCTTTCTCGAAGGAACACGCGAGATGCTACAATAGATGCTTTCATAGATCGCTGAGATTTTTCCGGAACTCTTATCCTAAGGGATTTCGGAATGATATCGTTTCTTAAACATCGTAAATTGAATATACGGTGATTATACCAGTTTGAATGAAATTTTGATAATTTAATCCGATTTTTAATAAGATTATAGGTTTCCAGGCCGTAGGTGTTACGAACTTCCTGAAATAATTTGAGCGCCGAGTCAGATTGATTCATTATAAATTATTTAAATTAATCCCAGCGTGTTAAGAAAATCAAAACAAGATTTTTCTGAACGTTTCGCTGTGTAAGCCACAGCTTCTTCAGCAGATTTATTCGGATTTTAATAATCATCAAAATATATAGTCAAAAATTTTTTACATACATTACAGTCAGTTTGTCTGAAGGTCATTTGTCTATGGACATTTTTACCAATAGAAAATATGTAAGCAGTCATCACATATTTTGTAATGACTAATGTCAAGTTGATGTTGTGTTCATTCTTGTATGGTTAATTTGTATAGATTAGTTTTGTATGAGTGTGTGTGTGTGTATGTATGTTATTTGTCATATGGAAAATACGTGAATTCATATTTGATAAACATGTTTTAAAAGGTCATGGAGGCTCATAGAGTGCTGATTGATTTTTTCATTTGTCTTGCTTCATAAGAGTTTGCCATATAGGTGATAAGTCTATCCCATCCTTCCTATTCACTGCATTCGATGTGGTTAAGATGTGCAAGGCTTCAGAAGTCAATCTTTCTTTATGTGAATGAAATCCAGACCAAATAAATCAAATGTACAGATAAACACAAGAACAGTATGCAACTTATCAGATAGAGAACTTAATGTACATGAAACAGCATTACTTGAAAAAGGTCTAAACTTCAACATAACTCGAAAACCACTGACAGCGATAGAATTAGCTCCCATCATTGAACCTACATTAAATCTTTTAACAGATGATGAAGCTAATGAATTACGTCAGAAGGTTGGATGTATCCTGTCGAATCAAAAGCAGGGCATTTCAAATTTATCGAAGGCCGAACGTCATGCATTAAAAACATTAAGATCAGATAAATCTATTGTTATAACTAAAGCTGACAAAGGCAATATCACAGTAATTCTTAATACAGAGGACTATGACAAAAAAGCCATGGGGCATATCGAAGCAGGGCCTTACACATTAGTACCAGTAAACAAAATGTCTAGTACAATGAACAAAGTAAAAGCCCAAGTATGCAATATACTTAGAGAATTGAAACCAAAACTAGGGAACTCAGTTTGGTTTTCAATAGCTCCCAAGACAAACACGGCCGCCAGATTTTATGGAAGACCGAAAATACATAAAGTAGATGTTCCTTTAAGACCAATAATTGATTTTACCAATTCAGTAACATATACTTTATCAAAATACATATCAAGAATACTGAAACCACTTCAATACAATATTCCTTCGAACATCAAAAATATTGAGGAATTTAAAAGGAAAATAATGGACATAATTATTGAAGAAGACGAAATTATGGCAAGTTTTGATGTGGTTTCTTTATTTACTAGTATTCCGATTTGTGATTCACTTGATATTATGAAATATGAACTTGAAAACAATCAAGAAGTATTAAGTAAATCTTTATTATCAATAGATGAAGTTATAAAATGTTTAAAACTTTGTTTGGAATCTACCTATTTTACCTTTAAAGATAAACTATACTGTCAAACAAATGGAGTTGCAATGGGCTCACCAGCATCTCCAATTGTAGCTAACCTTTATATGAAAGCTCTAGAAAAGAAAGCATTGACAAGTTTTAGTTGTCATCCTAGAATATGGTACAGATATGTAGACGACACTTTTATCATCATAAAGAAAGCTGAAAAAGAAAACTTTCTAACAGAAATCAACTTAATCTCAGAATATATTGAATTTACTAATGAAATAGAATCGGCTGAGGGAACTATAAACTTTCTGGATTGTCTTGTAAAAAGACAGACTGACGAGAAGCTAAAGTTTACCATATACAGAAAGCCGACACATTCCAACAAGTATTTGAATTTTCAATCAGATCATCCAATAGGAATGAAAGTTTCAGTAGCTTTAAATCTCGTTAACAGAGCTAGAAACATTATAACAGATAATGACGACATGGAGAACGAGATATCCAACATAAAACAGGTTTTGATTGGAAATGGTTATCCTGAAAAGCTACTTGATAATATTATCAATAGAAAGGAGCATAAGGGAAAACCAAAAATTGAAAAATCCTGGCTATCCACGATAGCCATCCCATACCGAAAGGACACAGCTGAACAACTTCAAAGATTATTTGCTTCATATAATATTAAAGTCTATGTCAAACCTTCTAACTCTCTAGAGAAGGCGTTAGTACATGTCAAGGATATAGTTCCCAGAATGGCACAAAGTAATTGTGTCTACAAGATAAAGTGTTCCGAATGTGATGCATGCTATATAGGGGAGAGCAGTAGGCAGATGAAGGTCAGAGTGAATGAACATAGACTATGCACGAAACGTCCACCTAGAAATGAAGTGGAACTAAAAAGTCTGGAAAAAAGATCGGCTATAGCAATGCATGCTATAGAAAGCGGACATAAGATTGATTTCGACAATGTCGAAATTCTTGGAAGAGGATTTCATTCACATAAAGAAAGATTGACTTCTGAAGCCTTGCACATCTTAACCACATCGAATGCAGTGAATAGGAAGGATGGGATAGACTTATCACCTATATGGCAAACTCTTATGAAGCAAGACAAATGAAAAAATCAATCAGCACTCTATGAGCCTCCATGACCTTTTAAAACATGTTTATCAAATATGAATTCACGTATTTTCCATATGACAAATAACATACATACACACACACACACTCATACAAAACTAATCTATACAAATTAACCATACAAGAATGAACACAACATCAACTTGACATTAGTCATTACAAAATATGTGATGACTGCTTACATATTTTCTATTGGTAAAAATGTCCATAGACAAATGACCTTCAGACAAACTGACTGTAATGTATGTAAAAAATTTTTGACTATATATTTTGATGATTATTAAAATCCGAATAAATCTGCTGAAGAAGCTGTGGCTTACACAGCGAAACGTTCAGAAAAATCTTGTTTTGATTTTCTTAACACGCTGGGATTAATTTAAATAATTTATAATGAATCAATCTGACTCGGCGCTCAAATTATTTCAGGAAGTTCGTAACACCTACGGCCTGGAAACCTATAATTAGTACTTTTTATTGATATTCCTGCATATGAAGAGAAACATACAGAAATTATACTATAAAAAAGCATGTTGTATACTTTTATAATTTTACGCCTTCCAGTTAACTGATTATCGATTTACCAATTGCATGACAGAGGAAAAGTTACTTATAAATTGTGTATACAACTGTGAATTAAAATCTGTCTTTTAATATAACAGTGTATAAGAACTCTTACTGGTAGTTAAGTACATGGGATTTTATTGAAAATTATTTATTCCCATAAGGGAATAAACAATAAATTAGTTATTATCTTGACCATAATTCCATCTTCACGATTTATGTGAAATTAAAATTTGTACTGTTAATCCCCACTGTCTGGAATATTACTACTAACTGAAAACGTTAATTCGGCTGAGCGAAGCTGCCTTAATGATGATAGCTACCAAGGCATCTAGCAACTGAGTCAACAAACAATCAGAATATTCTCATGTGAAAGTTATATAACCATTAATATAGGTTGGACAATAAGATGGTCTTATATTAGTTCATAAATTGCATCTGATGAAAAAAGACCATTAAACAAACAAACTGTATAATTTGCTAATAATGTGCTTTTGTTGAGTAGTTTTATCCTCCTCTGGAAACTTTTCAATTCAGTTGAAAGCTATAGCTTGGGAAATCGGGTCGATGATAGTGAGTGATAGCAGATGACAGTTATGTTATAAAATTAACTGATCTTCACGACTGGTAGGTATGCTGACTGGCCTAGCTGACTTCCACCTCACATCGTCTAAAAGCCGAGTAGAGTATTTTGTATTTGAAAATTAGTAATTGTCATTCAGACTATTTCATTTACTGGTATGTTGATCAGAAAAATATATGGACCGGAAGGAATAACTGGCATAGAAGCATGAAGAGTACGTTCAGAAATATTAATAATTCTGTTAAGGACAATCCAATAAAATTGTGAAAATTTCCAGTTAGACAAATGAACATTACTTTTTAATATTACAACCTATAGCAATCTATTGCTAATTTCATCCCCTCCTGGCATGTAGACAGTAGTTAATTGGATAAAGGTCTATAGGTTGAACGAAAAATGACTTTCCTAGACTCACAAGCCTGAAAGAACATTATTCTAGGATTCTGAGTAAATCAGCAAGAATTGTAACTTGTGCTATGTAACTATCCAGACGGTGAACTGTTAGAGTAGGTAGGTAGGAACCATATCGAACTAATGGCGCTTAGAAGGGTTTCCGCAAGAATACAATATTAATCACAGGGTATATTTACTAGCCCCATGCCTAATACTCCCTGTTTCCCGGACTTATCACAGGCTAGTAAACCAGGAGAGGTTATTCAATGTTACAGGTGGATAAATTTCTTCATATATTATTTGACAGCCCCACCGATCATAACCTCTTTGAAAGCTTGATCTCACTGCCAGTGGCTAACTGATCGCAGGGAAATATTCAAACATATGAGTTGCCCAATGCTCAAAGTAATTGACGGTAGCGTGTTATAAAATTCATCTCTAAACCAAAGCATTTTTAAACACCTAAATATATGTGTCAATCCATTTCGAAATGAATATCATTGCCTGACATTCAGATAATATAGAGTGATTCATTTCATTGATACTTTATGGACTGATCAAAACAAAAGAATTGATTAATGATATTAAAAGTAATTGTTCTTGAAATTGTAAATCCTTGTCTGAATAATTTGAAAGTCAAAAATACTTAATTACTGGTTCACAAAGGTGCGAAACACTAGGAATTGGTCAACAGCCGCGCATATGTAAAATACAACTTTATTTGGGAGAAGTCGAAGGGTGGCAGGATTTTATGCAAGCTATAAAAATGTCATTACAGTGAAGTAATATTCAGTCGGATATGTTTCGTTTACCTTGATGCTGAAAGATAAAATTCAGCTATATAAACAAAGCTTAATGACACAATCTCAATGGAATTTAATTTGTTATTTATGAACAAGGTGATATTGTCTCACCACCTACGCTTCATTAATTATTCTACAGCAAATGATATCACCTGACCGATGGCGATCATTAAAAATTTATTTGTGTCTTATCAATACGAGAAATACATTATTATCAGGAGTTGACGCTCATATGCATGTATAGGATTATCTCATATTATTATTGTCATCCTTGTTATGGTATTCATAAGTGACAAATACAAAACTAAATGAACGTATTACTTATTCTATATCTTTCTTATTTAAGTTTGTGTGCATCAAAGAAGAACATACAACTAGAGGAAATCACACTAGCAAATGTACCAGCATTTGATATTAAGAAGGACAACTTTATTCTAGCTGGTGTATTCAATAAAACCTGGGATGGACCAGTTCATTATGATGCATTAATTGGTAGTATGATTAATTTACCATGCATAACAAGTGATATAGGTCTTGAAAATATCTTAACTGAAAGAAGTAGGGCAATTGAACAAAAAAAGTCATGGGCTATACTATGGGTTCATCAAACATGGACAAATGTCATTGATCCGTGGTTGGGAGATGGACGACGTAGTTATGATCCTTTACAAACCAACCAATGGCTTCTGCCCAATATGCACACTTCAATATATCAATCACACTTATCAATTGTAGATATAGACCCAAGTGATAATGGAGTTTATGCATGTGTTATGGTTACATATCCAATTGAACATGGTTATTCGCCCGTTTATTTAAAACAAGCTCAACTAATGAGTATTCACTTTGTACGCATTCATTCTAAATTAGTCACAGCACCAGGATGCCATGAACATGATGGATTAAAGGAAGGCCATTGTAAAAGTGGATACGAACAATGGACATTTAATGTTTATTCTCCAGCTGGTGGATGGACAGGAGATATATTATTTCAGGGTAAGTTATGTCAAAGAATTTATCATCCAATTTCTTAAGTAATTTATTAAAAAAGATACGTAATCTTTTCTGAAAATTATTCACTTTATGCTGAGAAGTTGACTGTTTCTATCAACTAACCAAGCAGGCAAACATAATTATTAGGATTACTGTAAAAGACTCATATGACTTATATGATAAGCTCTAATACAGATTATCCAGGAAAGGCAACTCGAATCTGAAACACAGTGAGTAGTGTATTATTAAGGTTTTCAAAGCAAACTGTTTATGCAGACAATTTTTTTCTCATTAAGGAAGTAATCAATAAATATTATATTATAAATTATTGTTCCCTTGGGTTCTTAGTGGAACATAGGGCTTCAACTGCACGTCTCCACTTGCTTCTGTCTTGTGCTGTACTTTTCACCTGTATCCATGTTGATCCATACTGTTTCAGTTCCTCTTCACACTATCTCCTCCATGTCACCCTTGAACGTCCCACTCACCGCTTCCCTTTCCGGTTCCACTCGAGGGCCTGACGCACGATGTCACGCAGCAGCCTCCTCAACGAGTGTCCAATCCATCTCCACTTTCTCGTGCATATTTGTTGGGCTATTGGTTCTTGTTTTGTTTGTTCCCATAGCTTCTTGTTGGTGATTCCTTCCGGCCATCTGATCTTCAGTATAGAACGAAGACAGTTGTTGATAAAGGTCTGCAACCTGTTGGAAATGTTCTTTGTGACCCGCCAAGTTCCTAATCCGTAAAGAAGAACTGACCTGACGTTTGTATTGAAAATCCGAATTTTGTTGTTTATGCTGAGTGACGAAGATTTCCAGATTGGTTTCAGGTTGATGAATGTGTGTCTCGCCTTCTCGATTCTCGATTTGACATCCTCGTCCGTTCCTCCTGTAGTTGAGACAATGTTCCCTAGATAAGTGAGCGAAGTAACCTCTTTCAAATCCCTCCCGTTGATGGTGATTGGCGCTGGATGTTGCTGTTGTTGTTGTTGTTGGTTGGTTATTTTCATAACCTCCGTCTTGTCTATGTTTACCTGGAGTCCTGTCTTTGCTGTTTCTTCGACCAGTTTGTCAGTTTTCGCCTGTAAGTCTTTGATTTTGTGTGACATCAAACATAAGTCATCCGCGAAATCCAGGTCTTCTAGGTTCTTCACGTCGGTCCAGGATATCCCTGTCTTCTCATTTCCCACTGTCTGACGCATAATCCAGTCCACCACAACTAGGAATATCATTGGTGATAATAAGCACCCTTGTCTGACTCCTGTGTTTACTCCAAACGCCTCGCTGAGTTCCCCGCTGTGGATCACCTGACATGTGCCGTTGTCGTACAGCTGTTGAATAAGGTTGATGAATATTTGGCTGTCTGTCTGTCTGGATTCAACATAGAACTTGGCACCAAAGTGCAGCAGTTCAAGTTGCCACGTTCCAAAGAGCACACAAACGTAGACAAGAAAATGAGTGAAGAGAATCAATAGAGTTTTGACAAGTATAAGAGTGAAACAGAATGAGTAATGGTAGAAAGGAATATGAAAGATTAGAGAGACTGAATACATCTGCGCCATTGACAACGATTTTGAGCCATGTCACCTATTGTCTCCAGCCATTGATTCTTAGAGTCCCGAGGGCCCCAACCCGGAAGTCTGCATCTCCCTACCTGACTCACTTTAACTGTCAGGGATTTCATGGATTGATGCCATGTTTTTGTTTGGCCACCACTTACTCTTTTCCAACCTGCGCCTATATCAGGTAGTAATGCCCGTCGGGGGAGGCGATGGTTAGGCATGCGCAGTACGTGACCTAGCCATCTCAATCTATGTAACTTTATAGCGAATGAATATGTGGGTACGCCGTAGTACTCGAGTAGTTTCCAAATTACTTCGCGGTCAACGCTGTCGAAGGCCTTCTCAAAGTCTATAAAGTTGAGATAGAGGTTTGATTGCCATTCCATGCTTTGTTCGATGATGATGCGTAGAGTTACAATTTGGTCAGAACATGATTTGCCTTTCCTGAATCCAGCTTGTTCTGGTCGGAATTCTGTATCCAGTGCGTCCTTTATTCTCTCCAGGACGATGTGACTCAATAAATACAAAAAATTAATTCACAAATTAAAAAAATCAAATTAGTGCAGAGTATTGGTCATTTCACTTTCGAATAATGAACAGAAATATTCATGTGATAATCACTGGAAGATCATCTCGACTAATAAAAGACTTAAAACTCAAGTCGTTAGTCGCACTTAACATTAATGGAACCAGATGCAAAGAAGCACACAAGAATCATGTAAGCCTCAGGCTGATTGTTCGTTTTTCGATAGGTATGGGAAAACATATCTTTGGAACTGAATCGGTGTTCAACAGTAGTAAACCAGCCTCTAGGTTACAAGACGAAGCAGTTTGAATTTAAATGCTTTCAACTGAAAATTCCCAAACTCGTACGAGTTATCTACAGGAAAATACCTTCTCAACAAGAGTTTTATTCATTTATGTTTTGTTTCTTCAACTTTTAGCACCATGCAATGCAGAACTTTTTCTGACAGCGTTAAGTATGAGTGGAGTAGATCCAACATTCTGGAGTGTTGGTTGGCGATTTGTACCCTATGGTGAGGTTGATGATTCAAAGGTAGTTGAGATAGGTACAGACTCAAATATAAATTGGACACATCCTGTTCATATATGTGTTGACAGTTCACCTGTGCCATGTTTTTCACCCACTGATTTAATTGATAATGTGACGGAAGTGAATAGTTATGATTTATCATCTGCACATATTCGTGCTTCAAATTATTGGAGAGCTCGTTGGCTTGCCTTAACGGCTTCAAAACAACAATATTCGGGTTCGTGGCAATGTTGGATTCAAGGATTAGCGATTACTAATCATCCAGTCAAAACTAATTTCCCTATTCGTTGGTTAACAAATGAAGTGCATATGAAAATAATACCAAGGAAGCATGTTTACCGTTGGTGGACAACAATCGAATTATGGCGAGTAATAGCATTAATTATGGCACCATTAAATATTGTCTTCATTTTTATTATATTTGTGGTTGGGTGGTATTCAGCTAATCGTTATAAAAATCAAATGAAACAGAAAGAAAGATCAATCAGTGGTAAAAAGAAACTTCTATTAAGTCAACATATTACAGATACTGAGTCGACTAAACAATCACCAGCCGCTTATTTGGATAGATTTCTTCAAAAATCTGGTATTCGATCATACAAAGAATATGCTATACGCACAAAGAGTTGAATGTGCTCAACACAGAATGAGGAAAAATAGCATATACTAGTAGTAAGATGAAATCAAGACACAAACAGTAAGTATTCAACCCTTTCATAAGGTCAACATTGCCTTTGATTTATGTTCTTAAGTTTAATAAAATATTTTATTAAACATTTAATTCTAATGAATTTAACAATACGAATGTATAGTTGATAGACAGATAGGTAAAAAAACAGCCAAGGAGAAGTCACATGTGCACCATCTTCCTCAGCAAATTTCAGATGCATACTAATGATAACTTCAACAGATAGGCATCAGATCAACAGAGCATAAGTTAAAATGAGAAAAACTGTTACTGGGAAGAATATTTCGACCAGACAGTCCTGAATTAAGAAGACAAACTGTCAACTAATGACAGAATATCTTTTGTAGCCTCCAGTTTCCCATTAGAGCAGGAGATAAGTTTGAAGCACAAATGTTCATCACAAATAATGAATGGTACATTAGTTAGAAGAACCAACATTTCAGTTTCAGCGAGAAACTCAAATTATTGTTAAACATTAACATATAGGGTTTCTTTAGTTACGATTAATTTAAAAGTAGATTTTATCGCCTAGTGACACCAGTAAGCCAATCATTGAAACCCTAGAGGCTATTGGTTCGTAACGAAGTCTGTTTGATATTACTGCATAGTCATCATGAATAACCAATCTTTTCTTGAGAAGATGTTTGGTCTGATAATTATAATTACAACCAATAGCATGTACATTACAAGATTCCAGACCGTAGATGTTACGAATTTCCTGGAATCATTTGAGTGCCGAATCAAACTCAATCATCATAAATTATTTAAAATAATCCCAGCATGTTTAGGGAAAAATAGAAGCAAGATTTTTCTGAAAGTTTCCCTATGTGAGCCACGGCTTCTTCAGCAGACTTATTTAGATTTCATCAAACACCAAAATATATAGTCAAAAATTACAAAAATTGAATTGAGTTCCTTTGAAGTTCACTTGTGGGTAGACATTTGAACCAAAAGAAAAATGTAAACAGTCATCACTAATTTTCAGGATTTTGTTTGTAGGGGTTAGACCACGGATTGATATCATTTAGAGAACCATTGAAAACCAGGTAGTACTGGACAGATGTTTTATCCTAGTTCGGGACTCACCGGTAATACGTACCCACTGGGGTTCGGAGCCAGGACCTTCAGGTTACAAGGCAAGCTCGTAAACGATTCAGTCACTAGGACCCGATTCAATGATCAATGAAGTCTTACTTCTACCAACTCGTGATTTTAGCGTGACCATCAACCAATGTCATAGGGGGAACTCTATTCTCACTCCCAACTGGATGAACCTAACTGGTCACCACTTCTCACTAGAACTACAGGTAACTTCATCCTGTAGCAAGTCACTACTGATCACCAGACTGATTTTCAAGAATCGGCTTGTAGGGACTAAACAGCTGTCCAGTACTACCTGGTTTTCAGTGGTTCTCTGGCTGATACCAATCCGTTGTTTGACCTGAAACAAATAGAATCCCTACAAACCAATTCTTGAAAATCAGTAGTGACCTGCTACAGGGTGAAGTTACCTGTAGTTCTAGTGAGAAGTGGTGACCAGTTAGGTTCATCCAGTTGGGAGTGAGAATAGAGTTCCCCCTATGACATTGGTTGATGGTCACGCTAAAATCACGAGTTGGTAGAAGTAAGAATTCATTGGTCATTGAATCGGGTTATAGTGGTTGTAATGACCAATGTCAAATTATCATATATGCCTATTTGTCTGTATGTGTGCGTTTGTTCTGTGGAAAACACGTCAAAACATGACGATATTTCACAGTGGTCACAATATGAAACAGAATTTATTTTTCCCTAATCTGTTTTGCTTCATTAGGGTCTGTCATATAGGTGATAAGTCAATCCCTTCTCTCCTATTTACTGGATTCGATGTAGTTAAAATATGCACGGTTTCAGAGATCAGCCTTTGTTTTTATGAGTGAAAGTCTCTTCATAAAATTTCGACATTGTCGAAATCAGTGTTATGCCCGCTGTCTGTAGAAAACACTGCTATAGCTGATCTTTTTTCTAGACTTTTTAATTCTACTTCACTTCTAGATGGACGTTTTGTGCACAGTCTACGTTCATTCACTGTGACCTTCACCTGTTTACTGCTCTTACCTATATAGCATGCTTTACATTCTGAACACTTATCCTATAGACACATTTGTTTGTGTCATTTTGAAAACCATGTCTTTGGTATTCACCAAAGCTTTCTCTAGAGAATTAGAGGGCTTGAAATAGACTTTAGTATTATATGAAGCAAGCACTCTTTGAAGTTGTTTAGCTATTTTTTTTCGACCTAGAATGGCCATCGTCGATAGTCAAGATTTTTCATTTTTCTGTTTTCCCTTCTGCTTCTTCTTACTGGTAATATTGTTTAGCAGCTTTTTCGGATACTTATTTCCAATCAAAATTTGTTTTATGTAAGAGATCTCGTTCTCCATATCATCATCATCGATTATAATTTTTCTGGCTCTGTTAACGAGATTTAAAGCTACTAATGATTGGAAATTCAAATATTTGTTTGAATGCGTCAGTCTCCTGTATATCATGAACTTTAGTTTCTCGTCTTTTTACAGGATAATCTAGAAAGATTAAAGTTCCCTAGTTCGATTCTATTTCATTAGTAAACTTTGTATATTTTGAGACTAAGTTAATCTGTGCTAGAATGTTTTCTTTTTTAGCTTTCTTAATAATGATAAATGTGTCATCTACATATCTGTACCACATTCTAGGATGACAACTAAAACTTATCAGTGCTTTTCTTTCCACAGCTTTCATATAAAGATTTGATACAATTGGAGACGCTGGTGATCTCATTGCAACTCTATTTTTCTGACAGTATAGTTTGTCTTTAAAGATAAAGCAGGTAGATTCTCAACAAAGTTCTAAGCATCTTATGACATCTTCCATTGATAATGAACATTTAGCTAATATTTCCTGTTTGTTTTCAAGTTCATATTTCATAATATCAAGTGAATCACATGTAGGAATACCAGTAAATAGGAAAACCATATCAAAACTTGCCACAGTGTCATCTTGTTCAATGATTACATTTTTTACTTTTCTTTTAAACTCCTCAATATTTTTAATGTTTGAAGGAATAATGTGTTGAACTGGTTTCAGTATTCTTGATATGTTTTGATAAAGTGTATGTTACTGAAATGGTGAAATCGATCGTTGATCTTAGATGGACATCTGTTTTGTGAATTTTCGGCCTTCCATAAAATTTTGCGGCCGAGTCCGCTTTGGGAACTATTGAAAACTAAACTAAATTCCCTAGTTTTGGTTTCAGTTCTCTAAGTGGAGTACATACTTCTGCTTTTACTTTGTTCATAGTACTAGACATTTTGTTTATTGGTGTTAGTGCGTATAGGCCTATTGAGAATTACAGCGAAATTGCCTTTATCAGCTTTAGTTATGACAATAGATTTGTCTGATCCTAATGTCTATAATGCATGATGTTCGTTCTTCGACAAAATTGTGATTACATTAACTTCTCTATCTGAGAAATTGAATACTGTTTTTGGGTTAGTCTGTACATTTGAGTTATTTACTCTGGAGTACGCTGCGTCCGGACTAATAAGTTTTTCAGATTTCTGAATTTGTCTTTGTTTAGTAGCATTGAAATGAGTGAACTTTCGATCTTCGAATAGCTGCGTAATGGTAGTTAGATGATCTTTTGATAAAAGAATATCAAGACAATTATCAATGTTATTAATTCAATATCGACTGTTCCATTGCTAATGTACATTTGTGTATCAATTCACGAAGTAAAACGCGAGATGCTACAATAGACGCTTTCATAGATAGCTAGAGTTCTCAAGAACTATTATTACACAATATGTACATGCTAGAGTGACACAGAATTATGTATATTATCTACTTGCAGCATCTAACTTACCAGATTGCTTTTCAAATTGAAACAACTGAAAAATTCAGTTAAGTAGTTTTTATGTGAATAAAATGGACCATGTAAGCATAGATGTTGAAGATTACTGTAAGTATGAATCCTCTCCGTAGCCTTTGATAACAGTTTCATATACAACAGGTCATACTACTTCGGTCCATGACCAAAAGAACGAGTAGAAATGTCAACGTTCCCTAGTATAATTTCACCTGCTAAGTTAAGATACACTGACACTGAAACTTTCGAATGTCCATTGACATTGGACATAGAATTTCGAAAAAAAAGCCATCAGAGTTGTTTGTTTATTTTATTTAAAAAACAAAGCCTGGCACAATATAGGCACCACAGAGATGTGCCACACAATAATAATAAAACAACGTATGGAAATAACTGGCAGAGAATGAATAGCGAACTTCATGTCGAAAGGATGCAGCTATGATAAATCTTATCAGTAGCACTCGCCATACTGGTACAGACTACTGCAAATTTTGTAACAGTACTTTGCACTTAGACGGTGCAAAGCATATAACATACTTACAAATGATTAAGTCTGATTTGAGTAACCTGCATGCTATTGCACAGCAAGACGATATTGTCTGCACACTCGAGGTCGGAAAGTTTTCCTCCAAGAAACAGATCTACACCATCACCACCCACGTTCTTCAGAACTGAGTTGTACGACGGTAGTTCAGTGATAAGCAACATACATACGAGATACATAATACCAGATGCTTATGAGGAAAAAGTGGAAATTTTTTATTTAAATGGAATGCAAATGAAACAATTTCATAATTTATTTCCCACTTTTTTCATACCGTACAAAGATAACATCTTGGAAGAGGTATATAAGATCATCAGGAAATTAACCTGGTGAAATTAGCGATTTCAAGTTAGAAACGACTGAATAATAACTGTGCTCACTCATTTTCAGCAAATAACCTGGGAATATTAGTTTAAGCTGATTTAAATTGTCTGATAACTGGGATATATATATATATATATATATACATATATATATACTCAACTGAAATGCTTGGTCTCTGTTAACCTGCCGACATCGTAGTGCGGTTAACATCAGCTTGTCATTTGATTTGTGGTGGTTATTTAGGACTGTTCATCATGACAGACTTACATCCACAGTGGGAAATGAGTTCAGGCCTCAAAAAATACAGCTGGACAGTTCTAGATTACAGTTATCTTACACTGCGATTCAGAACAAAATAACTTATTACTTTTACTTGTTTAATCAGACATATTTTAATCTTTCACAGCGTTTTCATGAGACTTATCATCTTATAAGACAGGCGTACTAGCAAATAATTTCACTTTTCTAAAAAAAATAGTAAGTTGCACCAATCTCCACTTGCAACTTTACCTGTCCGAAACAATTTACGGCCCTTAATCAATATTTCTCAAAAAAAAATAACGATGGGAACCAAACATAGTTAACGCAAACAAGCAACATAGTATGCTCATTGCCAAAAGAATTTTACTCTCTTGTTTTTAAATATCTAAAGGTGACATATTGTTCAAATTCGACGAAGAATGAAATGTGAGTCATGTATCGATCGGATATTCACTTATTAGTAGCAAAAAAACCGAGGACACAAGAAACTAGCAATCAATTCAAAATGCTATTTTAGAGTATTTGTGGGTTTTTCGACTTTGGTAACAAACTTTCTAATGGTTTACAAAACTTTAGTTAGTTTTTTCTTCAACCGAATTTTCCCATATGAGGAGTTAAGGCTTTATTAATGCCGACAGACAGTGTGACGGTATACCTGAGCGACTAATGACTCTGGAAGTGTTACTAAAAGCAAAAGACAGCATCAGGACTTTTTAGAAAAATATGTAAATGATCTATAGAAATCTAGACTGCCAACAGGTTAACCTGATGAGGGTATCATAGTAGCAGTAAACATTGGTGATTACATCAATAAGATATTCACCATTTCGTCTATTTGGATAAAATCTACAAATATCACTAGTGAGGAGATTAAAGTAAAATAAATATGAACAGAAGCTAACGCAAAGTGATCCCAAGATTGAAGATTGGTTTTTTACTGATTCCAGAATGTCTAATCCACCTTGAATATCTGAATCAAATATATGCCCCAACTTTGTGTAGTACATAGAGTATACAAGTAGAGCACACCTCTTCTCTCTCCTCTTGACAAAGTAGGTCAACCCTACCGTCAAACTATACAGAACTAACTAATAGAGTAAGGTTATACAGCAAGTTTGTACTTGTTTATATTATGATACTCGTCAATTTTATCAATAGTATTGATACCGTTAACTGCTCATAAAAAATTACTATATTTAACCATGGTTTCACTACTTGAGGAAGTTCGACTAACCGAGACAGTAAATTTGAATATATTGGTGCATGCACAATCTTCAGAAGTAAAATATGCAAGCAAAAGGATAACACGACTACCGATTTTGTGCATATACATGAATGCCATGTTGCATCAGACAAACGGAAGAAAACAAAACAACGGTGTTGTACCGAATACACTATGAAACCACAAGTAAATTCCAATTGTCAAATGTAAGTATATTTCTGTGAATGAAGAAATGAGATTTTGTACAACTAAAGCGAACTAGTGTTGATACAAATATATACACACTGTCCGCCTTAGAACTCCAACAATGTAGGCTTCATTTCCAGTTCCAAATTCTTTTCCCACGTGGACAAGATTTCAATAAAACCAAATAAATGTAATGTTAAGGTTACAGGTAGCACTCAATTTTCACATTGAATTAATGCCTTGTGATTGAAAAGGAGATTAACATACCAATAGGAGTAGTGACCACTATCAGAAAAGAAAATTAGAATGGCCGGGTTAACAATAACCTGCTACATTGGTACAATGAGAAAATTCGACCAAAGTCATTTGCACTGTATCCATGCATAAGTTATCATAACATAGTATACCACATTGGTTTTAGAAGTCTGAAATCAACAGGGAATACCTGATGATTAGCAAAGCATATCCACAACTTCAAAAAAAACTGAAGTTTTTCTTGTCAGTGATTTCATATACTATCATGTAGACACTTTATGACTAATCTATTGGGTTTCTTTATAATCAAGTGTCCATTTAAAGACAATAGTATCATCTGTAAACAGAACATAAATCCTATACCACGATAATAAAATTTAGTCAAGTCTCATGATTTTGACGGTATACCATTGCCCACTATTTTTATCGATGCATTTGAATAATACTATTATGTGAAAGCTTTACTTATGCATCATTCCTACATATAAAATAAGACTAACGGGATACAGGCAATCCTGTTACTTTAATGAAACACATTAAAGAACTTAATATGTACTCTTGTAACCCCTACTGATTCAGTATTCTTGTGATCATACTTTTGAAGATGCTAGCTATAAAAGCAGGATGTATACTAATTACTTTAATCCATAGTATTCTAATTTGACAAAATATGAATTAAGGTATGAGGAAGTATATGCACACATATAAAAAAAAAATAATCTTATTTAATTCTGTGCACAGAAAAGGATATCTATCACTCAGGAGGTCAAATGTGCCTGTTCCAACCTTCGTAGGATTGCCAAGAATGATGCTTTCTGTAACACCTAGAAAGTTAGAAAGTAATCAAACAAAGTAAACAAACAACGAAAATATGTATCAGCATTATATTACTATTCCTATAATCTAGCGTGTACTCTGTGGAAATACTAAGATAAGCATAAACGAACTGACAAAGCAGACAAACATTTTCAATGATTATCAACAGTAAAGTCACACAAACAGCAAAAATACAATCAAGTAAGGTACATAACCTTTCAATCAATTCCCTAAAAGGTTTATGGGAAATAGAAGAATTGCATAACAAAGACAGTAGACAGGGTTATGAGACAAAAGGAATTGTAATAACGAAGAACAATATAGTTTCATTGGAAATTATAAGTCACAAGGAGTGGTGGAGCATCTACACCAGCCATTGAGAACGATTTTGAGCCATATCACCGATTGTCTCCAGCCATTGGTTCCTACCGTCCCGAGGACCCCAACCAGTCAGGAAATCTACACTTTCTTACATCGCTTAAACTAACTGTTGTGGATTTCATTGGCTGATGACATGTTTTGGTTTGACCACCGCTGGCTCTTTTCCAGCCTGACCCTATATCAGCTAACATTTCCAGTCGAGGAAGGCGATGACTAGGCATGAGTAACACATGTCCTAACCATCTCAGTCGATGTAGCTTCCCAGCCTCGCCAATTGATTTCCCCTTCCTACCTAGCACTCGACCGTTACCTCATCTCAATACTGATCACCTTCCTATACCACTTCACACGGGAGATAGAACGCAGACACCTATGATCGAAGACAGCTAATCTTTTCATGTCTTCTGCTCTCAATGGCCAGGTCTCACGGCCATAAAGGAGGACGGAGCGGACTGTTGAGCAGTACACACGCCCTTTGGTCGATAGCCGGATATCACATCTACTCCAGAGATGATGTAAGTTGGTAAATGCAATACAAGCCTTTTGCATCCATGCTGAGATTTCGTCAGAGATCAACCCGTTGGGGCTGATGGTACTTCCTAAATAGGTGAAGTGGTCAACATGTTCTATCACTTCACTCCCTATCACTAAGCTAGGAGTTGACGTAGTCCAGTCCTGTAATATCATCTTGCATTTGGCGGGAGCGAATCGCATGATGACCATTCGAAGACAGTTCGCTGCTCAAGGTGTTCAGAAGACTCTGCATTTTGTCAGCGTCTTCACCTAAGAGGGAGGACTATATCATCTGCATATTCTAAGTCAACGAGATTATTCCCTGGTAGCAAGTCAATCCCTCAGTCGCTGAAGTGAGTCAGGGTTAAGTGCATTAGTACATCTATGATGAAGTTGAATAGAAATGGGGATAATGGGCATCCTTGACGGACGCCACTAGTCGTCACCACTTCAGATGACGACTCGTCGTAAGCCCTCACCTGGCTGCATGAGTTCGAGGAGAATGCCTTGATGAAATGATGCCTCAGATGAAATCAACTTAGTCAAATATGCAGATGACCTGTCTGTATCGTTTCCCATTAAGTCTCAGTCAGACTGTCTCAAATTAAATAGCTTCCTGTCGGACATCAGTGAGTGGTCCAAACTAAATAGTCTCATGCTGAATCCCTCAAAATACCAGACTATTGACTTCTCCCTTAAGCATAAACGAGATCTACAAACACTAGTAAGTTCTCATGAAGACTGTTGCATTGAGGGGACTGAAATTGAAACTAAGTCTAATGCTAAATACTTCGGTCTAGTTCTATCTTCCGACCTTATTTGGACATCTCATATCCTAATGATTTCTAAGAAAGTGTTCTGTCTTACCTACTACATTAAGAAACTTAGACAATCTGGAATCACCCAACCTCTACTTTCACAATTTGTCAACTCTTGTATCTTACCTATTCTACTTTACTGCTCCCCGTTAGTCTTTCCTGGTCTACTGAAAAAGGACTATGCCATCCTGAGAAGGATGTTGAAGGTAGTCAGTAGGACTAGTGGTGCAAAACTCAGTCAGCTCGTCATTACTTTAGTTGATAGGCATCTGAATACATGCGAAAAATGGTCAAAAACCATACTCTCCGACCCCCAACACCCCCTCTATTCCCAACTCTCGCCTTGTATCTCATCAAGTAGAACCAGAAATCAGTATAAAATAATATATGCTCGTACAACTAAGTACAGGAACTCAACGATACCATACTTGACCCGTGTTCTAAGCGACAGAGACAGTGTTAAGCGTGAAACTTATGACTTGCTCCGTTATTAACAACATAATTTTAGGCTCTTTTATTTCTCTCTTATTTTGTATTCTTTAGTGAACTCCTTCTCAAACATACTTAGCTACCTAAAATATTAACATTGGGTTCCTTTTTTGTACTTTACTATATTCCTTCTATTGTGCATTCACTGGTTCCGACTCTAATAGCACTATGAGTATTACAAAATTGTTCTGTCATTAACCATCATGTAATTATTAGTTTTGTGGCTGTTTTTTCTTATTTCCCATACTTTTCGGCAATATTAAACTGACAATCATTGGTTGTGAACGCCATAGTCACCACCTTAAAATTTTTTATATTATTCAGGATTACTCACACTACCACCACAAACACTGTATTAGACTTTGGTAGACTTTTGTACTTTTTCGCATTTATAATTATTTTGTGTTTATCCTGTTTTTTTTGGCTGTTGGTGTCTTCAGATTTATTTTTTGTTTGTTTAATACTTATTTTAAATGTCTGTAAAATTAGATGCAAATATTGTAGATATGTGCTGAAAATTCCACACTGTACCACTAGTACTGTTTCTGGAATAAAGCAAATTATTATTATTATTGATCAGTGCAATGTATTTTCTCGGGATTCCCTTTACAGCCAAGCATCGCCAGAGAACCTCTCGGTTGACAGAATCGAATGCCGCCTGTAGGTCAAGAAATATAGTGATTGTCGGACGCCGGTAAGAATGCCTATGTTCTAGAATCTGTCAGAGGGTGAAGATATGATCAATACACCCTCTTCCTGATCTGAAGCCTGCCTGGTTTTCTCGTGTTTGTGCCTCCCGAGCACCACATAGTCTACGCATGATTATTGAGCCTAGGACTTTAGATACCATATTAGTCAAGCTAACCCCCACGTGATTATCACAGGAAGACTTGTCCCCCTTCCTGTATATGGAGATAATCAATGACTTACACCAACCCGACGGGATTTCCTCTGATTCCCAGACGCTGACTAATACCTTAGTTAACGCAGACAGTAAACTGTCTCCACCGTACTTAAATACCTCTGGAGTCATTCCATCAGGTCCTGCTGCTTTGCCTCGTTTCAGACTAGTAACAACCTTAGTAACCTCAGTTAGGAACCTGTGTCTATATCCCATTCAGGGAGGTGTTGGATGTTCGGTAAGTTGGGCGTGGCTGTAGGCCAATTAAACTGCTCCTCAAAGTGTTCTTCCCAGCGTTCCAGTCGTCTATCCTGGCAGCTAGATATAGTGCCATTTTTCTCAGAGATTGCTTCACTTATCATTTGCCTTTTACCACCTGTTTCCCTGATAAGTCCAAATAGTGGTCTAGTGTTACCAATCGTCGATTCTTTCTCCATCTCTTTCACTTTTGTCGCCCACCACTATTCACGGTCGTTACGAAGACTTCTTGTTAGTTTGCATTTGAGTAGCTTTCGCTTCTCATCATAATCGGGGCTCTCCGGAATCATTCTTCTTGCGTCAATCATTTCGGATGAGGTGGTAGAAATCCACTGGCTCTTGCTAACTTTTGGTTTCAGATTATTGGCAGTTTCTACAGCCGTATCTACAGCTTACTGTGTCTTGTGCTAGGCTACCTTAGGAGTAGTCCTGCTGTGGACCTCGGATACCCGTTTCGCTATTTCTTCCTTAAATAGGGACTAATGGTCTCGATGTAGTTAAGGACGAAACTGCTTCGCTGCCAACAATTTTAATGTCCGTTAAATCGTAAACGTAAACGTGCGCGGACCACAGCGTGGTCGGAGTATTCGCACGTGTTCCGGAATGAGCGACAGTTTTCTCCTGACCCTTGCCAACGATACCCTATCGCTATGTGGTCTATCTGAGTCCAGCATTGATTTGGTGATGGAGGTCGCCATGTTACGCAATGTCTCACTTTGTGCCTGAAGTTGGTGCTGACCCGGAACAGATGATGATCTGGACAAAATTGTAGGCGATCACCGTTGTCAGTTCGTCGGCAGGGAACGCCATACGTGCCACCTACATACTTTTCAGTCTGGCACAACTTTCCTCGGTCGGTCGGTTTTCGACATAGAACTTTGCACATATGTGCGGCAGTTCAAGTCGCCACAATCTATGTAGCACGCAAAGCAAGAGAAGGAAGTAGAAGAAATGCATAATATAGACAGTAAACAGAGGTGTGAGACAAAGGAATAGTAATAACGGAGAACAAAAGTTTAATTGGAAATCATAAGTCACAAGGAGTGGATGCATCTGCGCTAGCCATTGAGAACGATTTTGAGCCATATCACCGATTGTCTCCAGCCATTGGTTTTTACCATCCCGAGGACCCCAACCAGGAAGTCTACATCTTCCTACGTGGCTTAGATTAACTGTTGTGGATTTCATTGATTGGTGCCATGTTTTGGTTTGACCGCCGCTGGCTCTTTTCCAGCCTGACCCTATATCAGCTAACATTGCCAGTCGAGGAAGGCGATGACTAGGCATACGTAGCACATGTCCTAACCATCTCAGTCGAAGTAATTTCACAGTCTCGTCGATTGATTTCCCCGCCTTACCTAGCACTCGACGCCTAACCTCAATATTGCTCACCTTATTATACCACTTCACGCGGGAGATAGAACGCAGACACCTATGATCGAAGACAGCTAATCTTTTCATGTCTTCTGCTCTCAATGGCCAGGTCTCACAGCCATAAAGGAGGACGGAGCGGACTGTTGAGCAGTACACACGCCCTTTGGTCGATAGTCAGATATCGCGTGTACGCCAGAGACGGCGAAAACTGGCGAATGCGAACCTAGCCCTCTGTATTCGTGCTGAAATTTCGTCGGAGATCAACCCGTTTGGGCTGATGGTACTTCCTAAGTAAGTGAAGCGGTCAACGTGTTCTACCACCCCACTTCCTATTTCTAATCTAGGGGTCAATGAAGTCCAATCCTGCAGCATCATCTTACATTTTATAGGGGCGAATCGCATGCCAAACATGCGGAGATTGTTGCTCAGGGTGTTCAGTAGACTCTGCATTTTGTCAGAGTCCTCGCCTAGAAGGACTATATCGTCCGCATATTCTAAGTCAACGAGATTCTTCCCTGGTAGCAAGTCAATCCGTGAGTCGCTGAAGTGAGTCAGGGTTAAGTCCATTAGTACATCTATGATGAAATTGAATAGGAATGGGGATAATGGGCATCCTTGACGGACGCCACTAGTCGTCACCACTTCAGATGACAACTCGCCATAAGCCCTCACCTGGCTGCATGAGTACGAGTAGAGTGCCTTAATCAGTGCAATGTATTTTCTTGGCATTCCCTTTACAGCCAAGCATCGCCAGAGAACCTCCCGGTCGACAGAATCGAATGCCGCCTTTAGGTCAAGAAATATAGTGATTGTCGGACGCCGGTAGGAATGCCTATGTTCTAGAATCTGTCGGAGGGTGAAGATGTGATCAATACACCCTCTACCTGGCCTAAAACCTTCCTGGTTTTCTCGTGTTTGTGTCTCCCGAGCACCACTTAATCTACGCAGTATTATTGAGCCTAGGATTTTAGATACTATATTAGTCAAGCTAATCCCTCTGTGATTATCACAAGACGACTTGTCCCCCTTCTTGTATATCGGGATGATCAGTGACTTACACCAACCCGATGGGACTTCCTCTGATTTCCAAACGCTGCCTGAATAGTTGTCTGGTGTTGCCTATCGCCGATGCTTTTTCCATCTCTTTCGCCTTTGTCAACCACCACTGTTCACGGTCCTTGCGGAGACTTTTCGTAAGTTTCCTCTTGTGCAGCTTTCGCTCCTCATTGAATTCGGAGCTCGCCGGAATAAGTCTTCTAGCATCTATCAGTTCGGATGAGGCAGTCGAAATCCAATGGTTTTTACTCACCACGTCAAGGTAGCAGCTTTCGGTCGGGGCAACTTTCCTACTTGGGTATTGAAGTCGCCTGCTAAAACAACTACATCTGAACGTTTTGCTTTTTGTAGCAAATTAGGTAGTTTTTGGTAGAAACCTTCCTTTAGTTCATCCGAACTGCAGTCGGCTGGGGCGTAAATGGAGGCTATGAAAAGACGACGACGCGTATACCGTTCTTACACACACATACGACTATCTACTGGAATCCAGTCAAGAAGTGATTTTACTGCCCTAACACTCAATGCTATCCCTACACCTGCGAGTCTTCGCGAACTAGCTGAGGAGTCTCCTGACACTCTTAAGGCGAATTTCGAAGATTCGCCTTGTTGGGCGGGTGGGTTGCACTATTCCAAACATACATAAATCACCCTCGACAACTATGACTCTTGTTACATGTCAAGTAATTTACAACGGAAAAATAAAGTGATTATCAAAAACACTTACCAGTTAACTGGTCATCCTGACAATGATAGGCAGCTTCAAATAAATGGTCACCAGTCCTTTCAAACTAAAAGAAAAAAGCAAACAGGAGTGTCTACATCGAATATTACATACACTAAACAATGAAGGTTACTAAAGCTGATCTAGAGACTTTTGCGTGTAATTACTAATGTAGTAAAACTGGAATTTATTCCCATTACTAAGACGTTTCGAATAGTAGCTTATGTGAAGATACAAAACAATTTTATCTGCAAATACAAAAGTTGCGATTAGCCGTGTGAGAAAATAATAATTCGTGGAAAATACCCATCGGAACATTAGATTGAAAAGAACAAGAAGTTCAGCAAAGACATCTTTTCAGCGATTCCATTCTCAAAACCTGTACAATGGCATTTATATAGATTAGTTTACATTGATACAATTATTACTTGCTTAATTCCACATAGTAACGAAGGTGATAATTTTTAACTTGATATGAAAGTTTAAAGGCACGAATATAGATTACAAGGGGCTTAGAGACAAGATTGTATAGGATTAGAAAACAGTTACAACGTATGCAAAGTTGATATTTGGTAACTGGAGGAATAATTTTAAAGGCGCCTTTGAAAATTATTATCACCTTCGTTACTATGTCGAATTAAGCAAATAATAATTGTATCCATGCAAACTAATCTATATAAATGCGATTGTACAGCTTTTGAGAAAATCGCCGAAAAGATATCTTCGCTGAACTTGTTCTTTTCAAAAATAATAATTTATAAAAGTAGGCTGTTCAGGTTTACTCGATTTCTTTTCTCCACGTATCCATCAAAGCAAGATATTACAATTCACTAATCGGTTACTAGTGATTAATCGATGGAGATTCGAACCCATATCCCCCAGTGCCACAGTCTGAGACGGCACCATTGGAATATTCGGGATGATGACACACTTTAAGACTGTAAGGGATACATAGACTGGTCACTAGGGTGCAAACAATGTGATGTGTCTAGTTCTTAGTCTTGATGCTGACAGGGTAGTTTGATGACCCTTATTTTATTTCTGTGAAGTAAAATATTCTCTGAACTTATGCAGTCTACACTGTTCTTCACAAACGGTCTGGTATTATACAGAGGTAGATGGAATTGTATATTGTTTAATCATTTATGAGTCGGTAGTAAAGCTGTAGAATGTTCGCGAGCCACGCATGTGGCATAATGGTGGCACTCCTAAACCCAGCTACTCCAGTGGTAAGATCGGTAAAGAGGTAAGGTTGGGGATGAGGCTAGCAACCCCACCCCTTAAAATTAAACACCATTGCTACTGAAACTTCAAAGCTCTAGCTTGAAGCCCTATGTTCCACTAAGGAATAAAATAAAATTAATCACTTGTACACCGAACTGCACACATCAGTGACTGGAACATAATTAAAACTGTACATAAATGCAACTTCTTTTACAAAATAAAACAATATTTATTTATAGGCGCAGAAATAAATCTTACTGAAGCTAAACAGAGCACACTGTTCTTTGCTTTCGCCATACCAGTTCTCTGATAACCGCACACTTCACCCTGTAATAGAAAAAATAATAACTTTTCAATACAACACCTCAATAGATTTCGCACCAAAACTAATGATGATAATACTGGTTGAAACAAATAACCGATAAGTAAAATGATAGGAAAGCATTGAATTTGATTTAAGGAAATATTTTGATTTACATTAAAGCAACGTAAACCAACTAAGTTAATAGTAAAGGGATACTCAACAAATATATCAGTGTATCTTTATCGTTTTACCGACTATTGCACAAATTTTTATATAGGTAATTAGAACTACATTCCTCAAAAGTTACATAGATTTGTCACTATCAGATGACAAATGACTCAGTAACTGAGTAATTTAGGCGCGCCAATACAGTGGTCAATAGGAGCAGGTTCAAATTTCATTTCATTTTAGCGTGGTCAGAATTTTTGCATGAGTTATATCATGATAATATTCATCTTTGTTCCTGTCAGTGTCATCAGGTTTTTCATTTTTTGTCATCTTCACTCTAAATGCATAAATTTTTATTGTTTTACAAAATGAATCCGGCAGATTAATCATCTTCTACACAAAATTAAAATCTTTCCCGTGTTTGACAATAATTCGTTTTTATTTGTAGTTTTCAAATTCATTCAGCAATTACCTCTGAATGCACATAACGTAACTTTGAGGAAGTAATAAAATTTTTATTCCACTAAGAATGAACCCCATCTGTTTATTGTACCAAGCCTCAGAAAATGAAGCCACATTCGAAAGCAAGAGGCATTTCTTTAAAAGTCAGCTGCCTTAACCAACAGACAACAGCTCAGTTCTAACAAACTGCAATAGAATTACCAGCTTATAATTATGCGAAATGGAATTTAAAAACAATACTTTTAATTCAAGTGCTAGTTTGCAGGGATTTAATTTAATTGGTTACAAGATTTCATCATGAGCTGAAATCGTGAATTGGCAGAAGTTGGATCGGGTCCCATTGGTCTAATGGTCTTCAACCTCGCCTTACAAACCGGAAGGTCCTGGGTTCGAACCCTGGTGGATGTGTACTGCTGGAGAGTTTCAAACTGCTATCTAGTACTCCCAGGTTTTTAAATGATTCTCTAACCGATGTCAGCTCAATATGAAATCGTATAACCAATACTTTAAATTGCTTATTGTACACACATATACATATACACGATTGTATAACTATCGGAAATAATTCATGAGGGGGAAGTTTTTCTCTCATGCAAAAATGTTTGTTTTCTCAGTTTACATATTTACAAAAGGAGGGTTTACAGTCTTTTCAAAAAGTAAAGACAATAATTTTACTTACCCTATTAGTCATTACATCAGCTAACAACATCACGTGGCGTACATTTACTTCTACACCATGTCCTTCCATAACTGTTAACAATTCATCGATAACTACACGTCGTGCTGCCTCTACACCTAATACTTGCTCCACTTCTAATATATTATTACTACGTGTACGTTCAGCTACAACTCCAGGTACGGACATAACCTAAAGAGAATGAGAAATAAATAGAGGAAAAAACGTCAGGTAATTTTATACCAATTATTGTAAACTTTGTCGAACAATTTCACGTAATAATGAAAGCTTATTTAACAGAAGCAGATCTACACACACACACACACACACACAAGTAGACTTCATAGTATTTAGGTGATGATGGGTGATATATACGCTTCGGTAGTAAAGACAGCATTTATTAAAATGGAAAATATATACAGCTTTCAAAAGACACAAGCAGATGGATAAGCATTGTCAAAGGAGGACTCAATGGTGCGAGTTCCAGTAAATCAGACAGCGGATAATCTAGAACAGATGATGAAGAGATAGCAATCATATATGTTGTAAATGCCATATAAAACGAGGATGACATTTAGTGGAAAGTGAGAAATGTGATATTACACTGAAGAGGGAGGGTATGTGAATTCGTATTAGTTATTCCCTATATAATGTTCTTGATTATCTAGATGATACTTAGAAAATCTAAACTTTCTTATACTCTTCAAACCAACGGTCAATGACTTTAGAAATTAGAGGTATTCAGTATATATACCAATTAAGTCATGGCTTCAACAATCTTAGCAGATACGTGAAAAAATTATTTTAGAAACGTCCAAACCATAAACATTACCTCGCGTAATCGAGCTCCTTCAACAAAAATCCGATGTTCCCCTTTATCTTGTTGAATTACAACACGTGATACACCAGGTATTCCCTTGACGATTACATCTTCTACCAATTTGACAACAGTCTCCAGTGCATTTAGATCCACTGGATAGACAAATATACAGTCTTTTGAATAGGTTACACGCTAGATGGATAATAAGAAAGATATTTAGATTTTTAATTTAAAACAACCAAAGAAAAAAGAAATACGCCATTAGAGATCTCCAAAACGAACTTAAGTCACACATAATTTGTAAATTTAATTTTGTGATATTCAAATCCTTTACCTTCCTTTACGCCATTTTTATATCTGACAGCTTACACCATGCTAATTTCTGATTTCTATTTTATATTTCTATACCAAAGATACATAAAGAGTTGTGTATACACAACTAGGGTATACTTACGTATTTATATTATTCGGTTGATGCAAATCTCTTCTGAACTAATTTTCTTCTTGCTATACACACTACTGATTGGTATGAACACTAACACAGGACGGTGATGCCCACTAATCATATCAGAATGATCTAAACAAAAGACATCCATTTCGATTGTTTGGTACCGATGTCATCAATTGTGTAGTTTACAAACTACTGACGCTCGTAAGTAATATATATCATCTTGACCTACCGATTGTTTCCCTGATTGTCATTTATGGTATCACATGTTGTGATATGAGTACTTTCAGTTTCCTAAGGAAGCGACAGTTGATTTCCATCTCAAACGATTTAATTTGGAAATGATGGGTTAATTCAGATTTCATTTTCCTTTTTGGTATCAGTAGAGTGGAGTATATTCAGAGAGCACTTCCATTTCTCAGTAATATACTATCCCGTAAAATTATGTTTCACACATCATGACACGAACAGTTTGATTCGATTTCTGTGATTTGTCACTCTATGTGGTTCAGTAGCTAAGTCAGAGAGTTGCAGGTCACAATCCAAACACAATTAATACACAGGACAGGCATGAATCACTGGGTCAAGTTAAGGTATAGTGATTAAGAGGAACGAGAGCACTAATGACCCAGTAACACACAGTGCAAGACTATGAAACCAGATTAGCAACACCATATTCGTAAAAAATGATAACACAAGTATCAGAATATCACACATATTGGGTTAGTTTAATGCTAGCTTAAAGTTGGGTCAGGAACCCAAATTTGCCTTTTCAACGCGATTTATCGTTCCAAGGTCAAAGCTGCACTCAATGTCTTAATGTCGCTATTCTTAAACGTTCCAGTGAATAAATTTAAAGACCACCTCAAAGTTATAACTTTTTCATTCATCTATTATTTAATTTTCATATGGAAAGTGAAAATTAAACGACAGCCACTTTGTCATATTTCCCAAACCCATAAACAGTATAAAACTTGATTCGATTGAAAAATGAAAATGTCCTATCACCAATCAATGTTTCCTAACGCTAGTTCATCATTACTGCATATGCGGGTTAATTTTGTTCAGTTGTACAATTAGAAACCGGTGAAGGAAGACTTTACAACCAAAAACACAAAATCCGTTGCTTGGGCTTACCGAAAAATATCAGTCTTCAACACATTTAACTTACCGATAATTTTATCTTCTTCAATTTTGTCATCTGAATTGCTGTAGCAACCTGAGGTGTTGTAATCCCTCGTCTAGCCATACGTTTTTTATCCAGCTTAATGGCTACATAAACGTATTCTGGGGTTAAACACTGACTTAGTGATAATGATATATCTGCTAATCGTGTCGGTTCAATAGCTAATTTCACTTGACGCGCTAATGATGCTGAGAATGGATCTGTTAGAGTTACACATATTAGTGGAGTTTTAATCTTGGCTGCTGCATTGACGATTTCACGCATACGCGGTACACCCTTAGAGAAAGTAAAAAAAGAAAGACTTTAATTAGCATTCATTTTGTTAAGAAATCTAAGAATGGATAATTGATAAGTGAACTCCACAGGTCAGTAATTTAAAAAAAAGATACTGATGATATGGTTTTAAATAAATTTAGTTCCTCATTGTCGCTAGTGCTGATAGCCTCGGGTATTCAGCATCGACATGCTAATTAGACATGGAGAACGTGTTAATGTATTATATATATATATATATATATATATATGGCCCATGAATATTTTCCTAACTTAATGAATGGAGCAATATACCTAAAAAACTGGGAGACAATATTTGAAGAAGAGTAATAATACAATTTAATTTACCTGAGTAATATTCATACTAGCTACACCAGCGAAATGAAATGTTTTCAATGTCATTTGTGTAGCTGGTTCACCGACCGACTGACCGCATAATGCACCAACAGCTGTTCCTGGTTCAATTAGAGCTTTTTCATATTTCTCTTTAACATGTGTTAAAAATATGCGTAGCTGAGTTCTAGTCAAACGCTCATTTTGATTGATTAAGTTTACATTGTTTGTATTATTTCTACACCAATATTGCCATCTACGTATCCGTGGGCAAACTAAATTGATGATAAAATCTCTAAATGAGTGTAGATAAAATAATGGAAGTAAAATAATTTAGAATAACTGGGATTTAGATTAACTACCTTCAATCAGTGAACAAATGCGTCAAGCAGAAAAAATCTGAAAGAAACCCCAAACCGACAACAAATATACGATCACTTCATATGTCAAAACAGTATAACAGCTATAAAACTTGGGCACTGTGGTAGAGTATAACTCCATTATGGATAAGATTTTATTTTGATAAATCACACAGTGTTACACAGTAATATTAACTGATGACGTTTCGAGCACAAACTACTGCTCATAATCATATCAGGTTACTCACACAACCTTTTGCTTCATTTATATACATGAGTGGAATTGATTAGACATTTGAATAAAAATCAATATAAGATAGTGTACATTCAGAAATAATAATATGAGTGTTATAGATCAAATACAATCAGATGGGAAATAAGATGGATTACTGAATCCAGGTTCATCGAGTCTATACCCAACACATGCAATAGAAGTGACTCAACGGAATTACCAGAGATATGGAAGATATTACCGCCAGTCATATCAGAGCAGGATAATAAATAATCTTAAAATGTATTCAATTCACACTATAACATTGTAACAAGTTACAATGGATACCCGGTTATCAGTCACAACAGAAGACTAGACTGGGAGGGCCAAATTTATGGAACAACTGTTTCAGTTAAATTCACTGTTGTAATATAGAGTTCATCTCCACAATGACAGGTTCATAGAAAATCATCTCTAAAATTTCTGAGAAATTCATACAGTAAAGATAAATAAACCAATAGTTTACACATTGAAATATTTTTGTAAAATATTGAAAGAGAGCATCGGATCTTATTGAACTCAAATTCCTCTGCTTCAAATGTTGGAAATCATGCCGGATTTTTTTATTCCGCACTTCTGTTCTCTCGTAAGTAAATAATAAAAAGTAAAGATGTAATACTAACTCTTACATACACAACATTGATGAAATATAAAAACGATACTAATGAAAGGGTTATCATTCACGGTCAATGTGGTCTAGAGAAATAAAAAGGGAAGAAGTCTATTAAGTTTGTTTGATCAATCCCGTTAACCTTGTGAATAAGACCACTGTCAAGATGTCGTCCACTGCATATGAGTGGCAGGGAACGGGAAAGTAGTGGGTTATGCTGTTACACACACAACCTTGAAATGTCGCTGCTACAATAAAAACGGATGATCAAGTTGTTTACATGGAGGCAGTCTGGTAGCAAACCAGCCAACAAATATGCAGAAGGAAATACAGATGTATTGGACATACGCTGAAGAGATAATCGATTGACATAGCCCATCAGGTCCTCGAATGCGACCCGAAAGGTAAACGACAAGTTGGAGTCTGAGGGTGACAAGGAAACTATGTTGAGAATAAATGACTACTTTTGGGTAGTCATGTAGTCAGTTGGAAGTGATGACAGAGAAGTGAATAGGATGGAGATGTGCTTGTGAAGTAATTTACTCCATTGAGAACACAAGGCATGAATAATAATAATAATAATCTTTGACACAACAACTGTAAAGTGTGAAATAATGTGGTAGGAGATAGCAAAACTTGAAATATTGTCTTAATTAACTCAGCAGCTAAGATGGTAGTGATATTTTCTGCAAATAACTGCTGGACGCTACCGAAACTTGGATATGAAAAAGCATGAATTAAAAACTTTATTTACTATTGGAATAATAGCTGCAAAAAAACTAATCAAATGAGTTTCTGAAAATAAAAAGGACCCATTCATTATGAGTAGTGAACGGTGAACACATAAAACATTCACAGAATAGTTGGATACACTCTAACTTACAATTACCAGCTCTATTCTTAATACCATGTATTATTAAGAAACTAGCCACGTTTTAAGATGTAACAGTTTGAAAGCTCATAATTTGAAATTATACACAGATGGAAACAGAAAGGAACAAGCAACTCACTTAATCGCCAAGCATATATGACTGTCTAGATTTCTGAATGCATCTAGTTGAAAGACCACTTCGACTGCTAATTCTATTTCTTCAGCAGACATTGCAACTTCATCTGGACATTCATAACTAGTCTAATAAATATGGGAAAAGGCGGAATTAACAAAAGTATTCACATTTTACCCTTATATGTTCCATTTCCTTAGCAAAATTTACTGGAAATGTATCGGTTTCCATTTCCAAAGGATCTAAACCATCTGAACCATAACGGAATTGGATTATATCACCCCGACTATCACGTACAGTATTGTCGTAAGCAACTGCTAAATCTTCAAGAAACTAAATATAATAAATATAAACAAAACCGATATAAGAGTATATACCATAAATAACATACAGAAACCATAAATAGTAAAAACGCAACACGTTCTGTGTACTAAAAATTTTTAACAGCTATAGTGATCAAAACATCTCACTTACAAACTACGCATATACACTGTTTGAAGGCTTACAATCATTCACAGAACAGAAACGGATTAATCAGAATACTAGCTTGATGAACTATCTTCAAGAAAAATTTCCATGAAAGACCTTGTGCGAAAAGTCTAGTGATATCAAGAAAAATTTCACTTCTATTTTCAATAATTTACTTGGCTGTGGTGTCTTAGAAGCCAATACTGATCGACTGGCGTAACAACGTAGAACTATGCACATGAGTACATTCGTCCAAGTTACCACACTCCGGTAAAGCACATGTAGTGAAACTACAGTAAACCATGATGTATAGAAGGTATAATTAAGTGAAGAATGTTATTTGGTTGTGTCCTCTGAGCTGGTTGACTTAAATGCGAAGCTTTAGTAGTCAAGGAATACAACCAAATAAAAATCATCTACCTGAGATACAAATGTTTCATATTTTAAGTGCAAATTTTCAGAATCTGAAAGATGTTGAGTCACTTCCTGTTGGCAAATTCTGAAGAAAAGAATATGTGAAACAGTATAAACATACCTTAACTAGTCTTCGTTGCATATAACCAGTATCTGCAGTCTTAACAGCAGTATCCGTTAGACCTTCACGGCCACTCATAGCATGGAAAAAGAATTCAGAAGGTGAAAGGCCTGAGTAGAAACTATTGCCTACGAAACCTTTCGCCTCAGGAGTTCTCGATCCTGGAGGGAAATGAATGAGACTGCGTCCATTAATCACATCTGGAACACGTTTACCACCGATAACTTGTTGACCAACACATGCAATCATTTGAGATATGTTTAAGAATGAACCTGTAAAAATATAACAAATACGTTAGTCGATACTGTTTGCTATAAAAACGCTGATTAACAGAAAACAGAAATATTCGACATACCTTTTGACCCTGACTGAGCCATTACAAGTGGGGAGTTAGATGGATGAAGTTGACGTTTACAAGCTGCTCCTGCTTCATCCCGAATTTTCGATAATTCTTGACTTAAATTAGACTAGAGGATTTAGAGAAAAAGCATATTGAGAAGACTGTTAAGCCATTTTATTCATAAAGCAAAGGTGTAAACATTTACACATTGTCAATAATTTCTAAATTATTCTTTACTACGAACAGTCACCAATGATAATCGAGTGACGACTGACTTGATAGTACATACTATTAGCTTTTGTGTGAATCAAACTGAAGCATACAAATAAGATAGCTCATGAAAAACTGAGAAATAATATAATGACCTACGGTTTTCACAAATGCGTTGATGTTACGATATATACGGCAACCATCGATGCTGACGACCAACTTAATAGGTGAACGAAGGAATGGATACTTATAAGATAAACTGGAGGAGAATTTCACTATACTTTGAATTAAGCTGAGTGTGAAATATCAGTCAGTGAAATTATTCAGCCAAAACCACCAAACTTGAATGCAACGCTTCCAAACCTAGTTAAGACAGAATAACTGTAATGTTTCATAGCCCTTAGCGGTTCTTTGACGGGAACTATTTCATCATAAAGAAGGTATCTCTAATGCAATCAGCCATCAACTAATTTATAGATGGACACATATAAGCGAACAAAAGTTCATCGTTCTAAAATTCGATTAAGATTTTTTGTAGAAGAAACTCAGTTTGCGCAATGAAAGTTAACCATATTTTACATTTGATGTACAGGTAAAGAGATAGATAAATATAGTTTGGCTACGAAAGATATATATCGGCTTATCCATATGGTGACTAAGTGCACTTTGAAACTCTATTGATTGGTTGAATGAGTGGTTAAAACAATATAATTCAATACTTCATTGAACGTATTCTAGTTGCCTTCTGATTCCTTTTCTCCTTAATCATTGAGCATTAGAACAGACAGACACCAAGTATCAACATTACCATTTAAGTTGTCATAATTCACGTCGCTATACTAAGATGACTTAGGAGGTCATATAGGTAATGTGTAAAGTGCTTCAAGGATGTCATTTTGTGATGAAAGTGGTCAAACTTAAAGAAATCAACACATACTAACTCTTGAAAATGAATCTGATGCTCGGTAGTGACTGGCTAAAGGATACAGTTGCCTGGAGTTCTAGTGAGGAGTCGCAACGCGGTCGGGAGTGAGGAGAAATACTCGCAAATGATCTTAGCTAGTGGCCGTACTGAAATCACGAATTGGAAGGAGTTAGAATTTATGGGCCACTGAGCCAGTTCCCAGCGGCTTAATGGTGATTTATTTATTTAATCCTACCAAAATAGGAAATTAAATATTGAGAACGTACTTCAAGCGTATCCTCCATACTACACCCAGGATTGCAGATTAATGTATTCATCTGATATTGTTTGATATAATCATCGCAAGTGGCAAAGCTGAAACATAATTGAATACGGAAGTAATAAGCATTATTTAATACGTGTACATACAAGGCACAGCTGTAATTGTTGACAGATGCTTTAAAGATTGATACTGCATAGTAGCCAGAAGTTTTATAAGAATGAGAACTTGTTTGTTCAATGAAATACATCTCGAAAAGCATGAAGCACAAACCCGCTGTGGGCCTTTATTCTTACCAAATGAATTACAAAATCATACTGCGAGCAGTTTTGTAGTGGCACGTTTATGTAGCAGAATTTAAGACTCCACATATACTTTACAATTTAATATCTTGCAGAGATGGTTCTAAAATCCTTGAAAACCAAAAGTCGGCAAGTTTATCCACAGCTACTTAGTTTTCAACTGCTCAAAACGTTGCTAAACTGCTGAGCGCCAAGCATACATACGTTGTGCACCACTTTACACCGTTAAGTCAAATTTTAATAACGAAAAGCACCTGACTTTTTTACACTCACATCAGTGTTAACCTCAGTTTTAAAACATTTGAATAGTCGCCCCAGTTATCGAGTGTATTTTCTCGATTCACTGAAATCAGCTAATCTGTTTGTTATTTCATTTAAAACGATTAAAGTGGCAAATAAACAAGCCTTAGCCTTCTCAAAAGAATTAATGAGTTGTCAACATGGTAAGCATTCAGCTAGGTAAACAACGCTGATGTGGAACTTGAATAGTTCAACATAGGTATGAGGTTAAATTATAACTTACCCACGACTAATTAATGCAGTTTTTGATTCAACAAGATCTGAACTAGGCATCACTTCACCGATTCCAATTGAAAAACCTCTATGAGCAAGGAAAAATAGTGCAATTCTACCTAAACGCCACATGGCGTCTGCACAGGCTTCTCTTCCATAATCTCGAAGTAGTGTATAAAATATGCTTGATTTACTACCACCACCAAGTAGTTTTTTATCCATACATCCTGCAAGAAGTTCACTATTTTGAATGAGAACAACTGAAATAAATGTGAATTAACTCATGAGGAGAACTTATATAAATCCAATACAAATGGTTAATGACATTAACAAAATTATTACAATATATTTAAAGTTATATGTGTAATAAATTTAATCTTGGTGATTTCCATAAAATTCTATACATACAACGCAGTACACTACCATCTAACCATACGACTCCGCTCTAAGAATTACATGTGATAATCACATGGGGATTAGCTTGACTAATATGGTATCTAAAGTCCTAGGCTCAATAATCATGCGTAGACTATGTGGTGCTCGGGAGGCACAAACACGAGAAAACCAGGCAGGCTTCAGATCAGGAAGAGGGTGTATTGATCATATCTTCACCCTCCGACAGATTCTAGAACATAGGCATTCTTACCGGCGTCCAACAGTCGTTATATTTCTTGACCTACAGGCGGCATTCGATTCTGTCAACCGAGAGGTTCTCTGGCGATGCTTGGCTGTAAAGGGAATCCCGAGAAAATACATTGCACTGATTAAGGCACTCTACGAGTACTCATGCAGCCAGGTGAGGGCTTACGACGAGTCGTCATCTGAAGTGGTGACGACTAGTGGCGTCCGTCAAGGATGCCCATTATCCCCATTTCTATTCAACTTCATCATAGATGTACTAATGCACTTAACCCTGACTCACTTCAGCGACTGAGGGATTGACTTGCTACCAGGGAATAATCTCGTTGACTTAGAATATGCAGATGATATAGTCCTCCCTCTTAGGTGAAGACGCTGACAAAATGCAGATCTTCTGAACACCTTGAGCAGCGAACTGTCTTCGAATGGTCATCATGCGATTCGCTCCCGCCAAATGCAAGATGATATTACAGGACTGGACTACGTCAACTCCTAGCTTAGTGATAGGGAGTGAAGTGATAGAACATGTTGACCACTTCACCTATTTAGGAAGTACCATCAGCCCCAACGGGTTGATCTCTGACGAAATCTCAGCATGGATGCAAAAGGCTTGTATTGCATTTACCAACTTACATCATCTCTGGAGTAGATGTGATATCCGGCTATCGACCAAAGGGCGTGTATGCTGCTCAGCAGTCCGCTCCGTCCTCCTTTATGGCCGTGAGACTTGGCCATTGAGAGTGGAAGACATGAAAAGCGTGGCTAGCTGTCTTTGATCATAGGTGCCTGTGTTCTATCTCCCGTGTGAAGTGGTATAGGAAGGTGATCAGTATTGAGATGAGGTGACGGTCGAGTGCTAGGTAGGAAGGGGAAATCAATTGGCGAGGCTGGGAAGCTACATCGACTGAGATGGTTAGGACATGTGTTACTCATGCCTAGTCATCGCCTTCCTCGACTGGAAATGTTAGCTGATATAGGGTCAGGCTGGAAAAGAGCCAGCGGTGGTCAAACCAAAACATGTCATCAGCCAATGAAATCCACAACAGTTAGTTTAAGCGATGTAAGAAAGTGTAGATTTCCTGACTGGTTGGGGTCCTCGGGACGGTAGGAACCAATGGCTGGAGACAATCGGTGATATGGCTCAAAATCGTTCTCAATGGCTGGTGTAGATGCTCCACCACTCCTTGTGACTTATAATTTCCAATGAAACTATATTGTTCTTCGTTATTACAATTCTTTTTGTCTCATATCCCTGTCTACTGTCTCTATTATGCGTTTCTTCTACATTCTTCTCTTGCTTTGTGTACCACATGGAGTGTGGCGACTTGAACTGTTGTACATTGGTGCGAAGTTCTATGTCGAAAATAGACAGACAGACTAAGAATTACCTTTACATTCATTACTATACAGAAATCTTTCATACAGATCGATTTGTTTGATTGGACACTTGTTAGTAATTAATATTATGCGTCTAGTCTTTCATTTGGTGCAGACTGAATTCTACCAGTCTATTTTAAAAAAATGGGCGACGGTGATTCAGTGTTAAAATACTCGCGAAGCACGCGCGTGATTCAGGCCGACGCACTCCTAAACCTTGCCTAACCACTAGTAAGCCTGGTAAACATGGAAGGTTGGGCGTGAGGCTAGCAACCCCACCTAGTGAAAACAACACAGCTACTGAAACTTCGGAGCTTCAAATCTGAAGCTCTATGTTTCAATCGGAACGTAAAAGGAGTGAGAAAATTCACCAGATTATGTGCTTGTTAGCTATCTAATACTTTTAGTATCTACAACTTTGAGGAAATATTTTTTTCAAAGTCGGAATTTAGTTCAGATAAAATAAATGTAACTTAAAACAAGTTTCAGCTCAGGTATTTCTGCCCAGTATTAAAGTATAGTGTATGAGGATGTTAAAGTGCCTAACTTGACAGTCCAATTTGACAGAGAGGATTTCATAAAAACAATATCTCCAGTCAGTAATAAAGCTGAATTTTTTACCTTAAGCGTAGTGCACAAGGCAGGCTGGTAATTTTAGTCTAAATTCACTTACAGCCATCGTTTGGACACATTTCTTGACCCTTTGATGAATACATAGATTTTGTTGGCACTCTGAGGTTAACTTTAATTCCAGTTGACGGATGTTGTGAGAGAATCAGACCAAATATTTGTTTACCAGTCCACAAAGCAATAGGCTGAAATGTAAAAGTGTGAACGAAGTGTTTAAACACATGGTCCATCCTGCCTCTAGGAAAAATTGGCAGGTAATATGTAAATCATAATCATAATTTTAAAACTGAAGTTATGTATGGGTAACAATGTGTTTTGGGGAGAACAATAATGCATATGCTGCTTTGCCTTTATACCTCCATCAAACGAATGATTCAAAGACCGATTTACAACTGATCTCTTTTCCAGCTAAATACGTTTCATGCCACAGGCAGCAGCACACATAAACCAAAATCATGCGTATCATTATGGCAGGAGAGAGCAAGCAAAGCAACATAATAACGATATGATGGCAGAATAGTACGAGAACAATTTACATTTGGTTTAAAGTCAGGCGATACAAAACAATACAAAAAACTCACCCATAATATCGCTGGCTTCGGTAAACCTAACGGTCGACCTAAATGATTACCAGCTAACAGTTGTGCAGCTAAACCGCAAGCTTGATCGCGATTGAGAAAAACATCTTTTAAAGTTAACAAATGTGTTGCAGTAATTAAATCTTGAATTGGTGAAATTAACGGTTCACCATTTTTCGGACTAACAATGTTTTTAAGAGACTGTTGATGTGAAAAGAAAACAAAATTTACTTTGACACTCAAATCTCAGAACATTAATTATATATATATATATATATATATATATATATATATGGGAATTAGAGGGTAAAAATACTCAGTTATTTACTAATAGGAGAAACAATACATCACCCATATGAAATATACAAAATGGGTTACTAAATCCATAATCTAATGGTTAGTTAGGAGCTGTTCGCATTGCATTTGTCAGACATCGGACTTTAAACAAGACAATCTTGATCTCGGATGCTCCTCACCTTATTCTAGTGTTTTTATTATGTCTCACTGAAGGGTACACGGAAGTGCTAAGTTGAACAGGATTCGCATAACACAAAATAAATGTTACAGATAAACAAACATTCATTCACTAATCGCAAACCAACAACTGTGTTGAAAAGGCTTTGGTCAATCACGAGAGAGTAACTTACACCATTTTGTCCAGTCTTCAATGCTAATTACATTCTGCCGACCAAGCTCGAAATAAGTCTTATCTGCATATATGCTAATCAGTACTGTCCACTAAGCGTTTCTACCTAGACATTAGATTAATGTGTAGCTCTTCCCTGAGGTAGGACACATTACTAATATACCTTGTAGCCTGACTGAACAGCAATGAGTAACCAAGGAATATTAATTGTTGAACACTTTAAAATAATCTTAGTATGTAAATGAAGTAAAAATTTGTTTTCAGTCTACAAAATGAATCTAACACAAGCAACATACACTTTTTGTACAGTGAGACACTTTATCCAACCAACATCTGTCATAAGGAATATTTGAGACTTAACCGAATGAAAGCGACACTCAACGAATCATTTCTTAAATAATTTAACCTTGAAATTAAGCAGTTCCAAAAATCCTAACAATCAAATACCTCTCGAAGATTAAAATCATGACTATGATCAGTAACGCCATCTACCACATACACCAGATCCATCGATTTGATTATGGCCAAAAAACATAGCTAGACAATCATTTTTTTTCACACTGATTTATCTGGGAACAATTTTTATACACCTAGCATGATTTCAGGGTTAAGTGCAATACTTATTTGCAGAGTGACTCAAGAATGCACACCCGTAATCATTTTCAAAGGTTAATTTGTAATCAGCTTAGCCTGATTTGTTTTAAGTGAGCCAACAACTTGCCTGGTTGTCGGGATTGATTTGAGTGAAGTTGATACAAAAGCATGACTCAACACCTATATATTATTTTGCTGTTATGTGGAACGTTATGGTAATTTTCAGATTTGACATAAAGTATTACATATAGGAAACAAATCGAAAGCATGTGTTAAACATGCTGGTTCAAGTAGCATTTCGTAAGGAAGAAATTGGAGGTAACCAAACCAATGCATGGCATTAAAGTATGAAATCTGTGACTATGATGGTGTCAGTTGTCTAGCTCGAAGCGCGTCTCAAAATCCTGTAGATGAAATCACTCTCTATCTCTTCATTTCTCTCTCATACACTCTAAGCACTTGAAATAAACATATTTAATTGTTCTCTCTTTCCCCTCATACATACTTTTCTGCAGTGTATTATCATTCTATTTGAGAATGGGAATGCAGAAAAACCAAGTTAATCGATTAAATTTCATTAAGTAAACCTTCCTGCTGAGGGCTACGATTGCCTTTCTGTCTGTCTGTCTGGATTCAACATAGAACTTGGCACCAAAGTGCAGCAGTTCAAGTTGCCACGTTCCAAAGAGCACACAAACGTAGACAAGAAAATGAGTGAAGAGAATCAATAGAGTTTTGACAAGTATAAGAGTGAAACAGAATGAGTAATGGTAGAAAGGAATATGAAAGATTAGAGAGACTGAATACATCTGCGCCATTGACAACGATTTTGAACCATGTCACCTATTGTCTCCAGCCATTGATTCTTAGAGTCCCGAGGGCCCCAACCCGGAAGTCTGCATCTCCCTACCTGACTCACTTTAACTGTCAGGGATTTCATGGATTGATGCCATGTTTTTGTTTGGCCACCACTTACTCTTTTTCAACCTGCACCTATATCGGCTAGTAATGCCCGTCGGCGGAGGCGATGGTTAGGCATGCGCAGCACGTGACCTAGCCATCTCTATGTATGCAACTTTATAGCCTCTTCGATTGATTTTCCCTCTTTGCCTAACACTCTACGCCTAACGTCAACATTACTTACCTTATTATACCACCTAACGCGAGAAAGAGATCGTAAACATCTGTGGTCAAAAACAGACAATCTTTTCATGTCTTCAACTCGTATTGGGCATGTTTCAGAGCCATAGAGAGGGACGGAGCGGACTGCTGAGCAGTACACACGTCTCTTGGTTGAAAGTCGGATGTCACGCCTAAGCCAGAGATGGTGTAAGTTACCGAAAGCAGCCCGAGCTTTTTGGATCCGTGTTGAGATTTCGTCACCGATCAATCCCTACCTTTAGAAAGTACATATACGTATAAAAACTTTTAATAAATATAATCATAACCAGTGATAGCTTAATACAATATTAAAATGAAACACACCAGCATCAAATGTTTCGCTTCTGCACGCGCTGCCTCAGTTTGTGGAAGGTGTATATTCATTTCATCACCATCGAAATCTGCATTGAACGGTGTGCAGCAGCATGGGTTGAAACGAAAAGTACGAAAGGGCTTTACAACAGCCTAAGAAAATCAGTAAAATAATGATAATACAGGAGAAGTTCAAGTTAAAATAAAATAGTTTCAAAAAAATATTGCATATTATTATGGAGGTGATTATTCATGAATTATATTTCTTTCCGCACAATGCAAGTGCACTAGGTTAAACGATAGTGTTGCATTATTTGAACTAATATCTATTAAACTCAAGTCTTAAATCAACACAAGAGCACTCAATGAGGTAAGGATATATGTGGTTGATAAATCACAGGGGAAACATTATTTATTATTCCGTAACTCCCCAATTCTTATTAGTGAACCAAAAACAAAAAAGATTTACCCTTATCAAAGAAACTATTAAAATGGCTTCAAGCTCCGCATATTAATCATGAAAGAAGCATATAGTAGTGGGACAGAATTAGTTTATTTCTACATTTAACGAACTGTAGATATTTCAATGAAAAACGTATATATATATATATATATATATATATATATATACGCCTACATGGTGAAATAAGTTTACTCGATTCTACATACATACAAAAAAAACAGAAGTTATCACTCCAGTGGTTACTTACTCTAAATGCCTGGATAGATACACGATGCAAAGAAGGCTGACGATTAAATAGTACAACATCACCATCAAGTAAATGTCTCTCAACGATATCGCCTGGTTGTAGATATCTTGCCACATCCTCACGTGCACGTTCAGATGCTAAAAAGCGTTTCACTACATCAGAGACACCAGTAGCCTCAGCTTGGCGTTTTTTCTCACCCCGTAGTTTGTAACTGACAAACAAAGCACCTGGATAGTTATTAGGCCCATTTAGCACAAGTGTTCGGAGAAAGTTTAAATTGAATTCAGTTACACGGTCAGGGTATGTTAATAACTTAGCACAATGAACTGGAATGCACACCTGTAATGTATATGATATACATAAAAGATAAGAAAAACAAGGGTGAAATGTAGACATTTGTGTCACTGTGATCGAATTCATGTGTTATAGAAGGCATACTTTACTATTTTATAGCCTTCTGTAATTAATAATCAAAAATCATTAACCTTATGTGCTTATAAAATGTCTTCAAACCAATTTAAAGCGAATCAGTCTTGCATGTTTAGACAGACGATGAGTTATGATTAGTAAAGTATCTGTCAATTCCCTTCTATGGAATGATTTAGATCAACTTCAAAAATGAACTAGAGAACTATTGCTTGCTTTGGAAAGTCGATGAATTTGGATAATAGGTATGTCATTACATAAAGTAGAACAGTAACCGGCAGAATTAACAACTTAAATCCTTATTTTTCGGGTTCAGATTAAAACTTGGCCTCACGTATCAAGATTATAGCAGAAAACTAATACAAAGACCTTTACATAAAAAGCTTGTATTGCTCCCCAGTACACCAACTTGTGCCTAGTTATACCTAGAGTATTGATCTTATAAGTAATTTTAACAGCAGCTACTTTGACCCAGGGGTAAGTAATGACTCTGAGAGGCCAGTCACGGAAAGCGTACAGATACCTTATTATCTGTATACTGAAGAACAACTGTAGTGCTATAAATGTTCAGTAAACACTATCACAGAAAAATTCCTCAGATAAGTTATTAATATAGGACACCCGAATATGTTGTATTGATTAGAAGTGAAGCATAATATGCAACTTAATGAAACAGCATGTAATTCTGATTAGTGAATAGTGTTACTCTGCAATAGAAGAGGCAAACAAAAACTTTCAAATAGGCAAATTGCATTATATTCAGATGAGCAGATGGTTAATCCTCAACCAGTTATACCACTGTTAGTAATATAACATGCAGACAGAGCTAAGTCATTCATATCACAAGAGAACCACTTGTCTTCTTAACAGAATCTATTATTATTTTATTATTTATTTATTTTATTATTATTCTCAACAGAATCTAAACGCGTTTGAAATAAGCACTGATTGTGTACTTGATGATACAGCTAGAGGAAGCCATACAAAATGTACTACAAACATCAGAATCCCATAAAAATTTCTTCACTATCTTGAGTATAAAGCCAACTGAATAAGAGGTAGCTAAACAATCACTTGACTTTCCAATACGATTTTATCAGTGTTTGAAATTGAACTGTGGGTTTCATAACATATCTAGTGCGAAAATGTTGGCCTGCACTGCGAGATTCAGCTACAGGAAGTAAAACAGCAAAAACAAGTAAGCTCACCTCATCTATTCGCATATTTGGGTCTGGTGAGATGACAGTTCGAGCGGTGAAATTCGTTCGTTTACCCAGGAGGCTGCCACGAAATCGACCATGCTTACCAGCTAATCGCTGGAGCAAACCACGCATAAACTTATGGTCTTGAACAGGAGGTAGACCAGACTGTTGTGAATTAATCAACCGTGCAAATTCAGCGTGTAAATTATCCAAGCATGCAATTTGATCTGCTTCACCAATATCTTCCTCAATTGTTGCTGCCTGGGCCAATATCCACTGGTACATTTGAGTAAGGTCATCTTCATTACTTGACAAAAGAACAGTGAAATTAAAGAATGCATACGTCAAGATAATAGATCCCAGATGTGAACACCCTGAGTATATGCACGTATATCACTAACAGAAACAAACCAATGTATCCCACTTTTATGCTAAATGGAACGCAGTGCACGCTCTCTTTGTGGTCGCTTCTTACGCAACCAGAGCCTGGCTGATGTACAGGATGACTTCTAAAAATATCATGAGACGTAGGTAGCTTATTGTGCACGTACTGAGATGAAGCCATACGAAAGGCTATCTTCAGCGTACCAATCTCTTATAAAGAAAATGACGCTCACCTACTGATTTACATACCTAGCCATTACTAATTTCAGAAATAACAACTGGCACTGCCCGAAATGGTGACTTTTAACTCAGCTTGACGCAAACTCCTTCAATTGCAGGGCTAACCCCCATGTGTCTGTCTGTTTTCGACATAGAACTTCGCACCAATGTACAACAGTTCAAGTCGCCACACTCCATGTGGTACACAAAGCAAGAGAAGAATGTAGAAGAAACGCATAATAGAGACAGTAGACAGGGATATGAGACAAAAAGAATTGTAATAACGAAGAACAATATAGTTTCATTGGAAATTATAAGTCACAAGGAGTGGTGGAGCATCTACACCAGCCATTGAGAACGATTTTGAGCCATATCACCGATTGTCTCCAGCCATTGGTTCCTACCGTCCCGAGGACCCCAACCAGTCAGGAAATCTACACTTTCTTACATCGCTTAAACTAACTGTTGTGGATTTCATTGGCTGATGACATGTTTTGGTTTGACCACCGCTGGCTCTTTTCCAGCCTGACCCTATATCAGCTAACATTTCCAGTCGAGGAAGGCGATGACTAGGCATGAGTAACACATGTCCTAACCATCTCAGTCGATGTAGCTTCCCAGCCTCGCCAATTGATTTCCCCTTCCTACCTAGCACTCGACCGTTACCTCATCTCAATACTGATCACCTTCCTATACCACTTCACACGGGAGATAGAACACAGGCACCTATGATCAAAGACAGCTAGCCACGCTTTTCATGTCTTCCACTCTCAATGGCCAAGTCTCACGGCCATAAAGGAGGACGGAGCGGACTGCTGAGCAGCATACACGCCCTTTGGTCGATAGCCGGATATCACATCTACTCCAGAGATGATGTAAGTTGGTAAATGCAATACAAGCCTTTTGCATCCATGCTGAGATTTCGTCAGAGATCAACCCGTTGGGGCTGATGGTACTTCCTAAATAGGTGAAGTGGTCAACATGTTCTATCACTTCACTCCCTATCACTAAGCTAGGAGTTGACGTAGTCCAGTCCTGTAATATCATCTTGCATTTGGCGGGAGCGAATCGCATGATGACCATTCGAAGACAGTTCGCTGCTCAAGGTGTTCAGAAGACTCTGCATTTTGTCAGCGTCTTCACCTAAGAGGGAGGACTATATCATCTGCATATTCTAAGTCAACGAGATTATTCCCTGGTAGCAAGTCAATCCCTCAGTCGCTGAAGTGAGTCAGGGTTAAGTGCATTAGTACATCTATGATGAAGTTGAATAGAAATGGGGATAATGGGCATCCTTGACGGACGCCACTAGTCGTCACCACTTCAGATGACGACTCGTCGTAAGCCCTCACCTGGCTGCATGAGTTCGAGGAGAATGCCTTGATGAAATGATGCCTCAGATGAAATCAACTTAGTCAAATATGCAGATGACCTGTCTGTATCGTTTCCCATTAAGTCTCAGTCAGACTGTCTCAAATTAAATAGCTTCCTGTCGGACATCAGTGAGTGGTCCAAACTAAATAGTCTCATGCTGAATCCCTCAAAATACCAGACTATTGACTTCTCCCTTAAGCATAAACGAGATCTACAAACACTAGTAAGTTCTCATGAAGACTGTTGCATTGAGGGGACTGAAATTGAAACTAAGTCTAATGCTAAATACTTCGGTCTAGTTCTATCTTCCGACCTTATTTGGACATCTCATATCCTAATGATTTCTAAGAAAGTGTTCTGTCTTACCTACTACATTAAGAAACTTAGACAATCTGGAATCACCCAACCTCTACTTTCGCAATTTGTCAACTCTTGTATCTTACCTATTCTACTTTACTGCTCCCCGTTAGTCTTTCCTGGTCTACTGAAAAAGGACTATGCCATCCTGAGAAGGATGTTGAAGGTAGTCAGTAGGACTAGTGGTGCAAAACTCAGTCAGCTCGTCACTACTTTAGTTGATAGGCATCTGAATACATGCGAAAAATGATCAAAAACCATACTCTCCGACCCCCAACACCCCCTCTATTCCCAACTCTCGCCTTGTATCTCATCAAGTAGAACCAGAAATCAGTATAAAATAATATATGCTCGTACAACTAAGTACAGGAACTCAACGATACCATACTTGACCCGTGTTCTAAGCGACAGAGACAGTGTTAAGCGTGAAACTTATGACTTGCTCCGTTATTAACAACATAATTTTAGGCTCTTTTATTTCTCTCTTATTTTGTATTCTTTAGTGAACTCCTTCTCAAACATACTTAGCTACCTAAAATATTAACATTGGGTTCCTTTTTTGTACTTTACTATATTCCTTCTATTGTGCATTCACTGGTTCCGACTCTAATAGCACTATGAGTATTACAAAATTGTTCTGTCATTAACCATCATGTAATTATTAGTTTTGTGGCTGTTTTTTCTTATTTCCCATACTTTTCGGCAATATTAAACTGACAATCATTGGTTGTGAACGCCATAGTCACCACCTTAAAAATTTTTATATTATTCAGGATTACTCACACTACCACCACAAACACTGTATTAGACTTTGGTAGACTTTTGTACTTTTTCGCATTTATAATTATTTTGTGTTTATCCTGTTTTTTTTGGCTGTTGGTGTCTTCAGATTTATTTTTTGTTTGTTTAATACTTATTTTAAATGTCTGTAAAATTAGATGCAAATATTGTAGATATGTGCTGAAAATTCCACACTGTACCACTAGTACTGTTTCTGGAATAAAGCAAATTATTATTATTATTGATCAGTGCAATGTATTTTCTCGGGATTCCCTTTACAGCCAAGCATCGCCAGAGAACCTCTCGGTTGACAGAATCGAATGCCGCCTGTAGGTCAAGAAATATAACGACTGTTGGACGCCGGTAAGAATGCCTATGTTCTAGAATCTGTCGGAGGGTGAAGATATGATCAATACACCCTCTTCCTGATCTGAAGCCTGCCTGGTTTTCTCGTGTTTGTGCCTCCCGAGCACCACATAGTCTACGCATGATTATTGAGCCTAGGACTTTAGATACCATATTAGTCAAGCTAACCCCCACGTGATTATCACAGGAAGACTTGTCCCCCTTCCTGTATATGGAGATAATCAATGACTTACACCAACCCGACGGGATTTCCTCTGATTCCCAGACGCTGACTAATACCTTAGTTAACGCAGACAGTAAACTGTCTCCACCGTACTTAAATACCTCTGGAGTCATTCCATCAGGTCCTGCTGCTTTGCCTCGTTTCAGACTAGTAACAACCTTAGTAACCTCAGTTAGGGACCTGTGTCTATATCCCATTCAGGGAGGTGTTGGATGTTCGGTAAGTTGGGCGTGGCTGTAGGCCAATTAAACTGCTCCTCAAAGTGTTCTTCCCAGCGTTCCAGTCGTCTATCCTGGCAGCTAGATATAGTGCCATTTTTCTCAGAGATTGCTTCACTTATCATTTGCCTTTTACCACCTGTTTCCCTGATAAGTCCAAATAGTGGTCTAGTGTTACCAATCGTCGATTCTTTCTCCATCTCTTTCACTTTTGTCGCCCACCACTGTTCACGGTGGTGGTTTGCATTTGAGTAGCTTTCACTCCTCATCATAATCGGAGCTCTCCGGAATCATTCTTCTTGCGTCAATCGGTTTGGAGGAGGCGGTATAGATCCTTACCTACCTAAGTTTCCATACAACACAATGCATTATATTTTCCTGACTGCTTATAGTTTCAACCATTTAATTATGTTCTTGAGTCGAAAGAGATACTCTTGTACCTTTTTAAATGGCTTTCGAACTACAGGTGTGCATTTATCAGAAACTGGGAATATATATACGATTAGCCTATGCTTCAGAATGAACACCGCTATGCCTCGTGATAAACCATCGATTGCTACTAAGTTTGAAAATCCTGGATGGACAGATATTATTATGTGGTAAATTACACATAGAATCATGTATATTGTGTAAACATTCTGTGTAGAATGAGGGTATTATTATTATTATTGAATTCCAGCACACTACATTGGTTATAATTACCACCAGATGGTTCTAATGAAGACGTATCGTTCCTTTTGAAGGGCATAACTTGGTCGTGTTTGCATGTCAGCCCTTGGATGAGCTTCTCCAAACTACTGATTATAAGTAGCTTAGAAATGATGAAAATCCTCATTAGGTAACATAGAAGTTAACCTGATCAAGATGGTTTCTCCTATTCTGGGTTCTGTCATCATATGATGCCCACCTACATACGAATAAAATATGCCCAAGAAAGCCAGGTTGTTTTATTCAGGAGGGTATCGACCAGATATCAATTTTGCGTTACAATCTGGAAAGCAGAAACTCGTTCTTACGCCCCATACATTAGCACTTCAACCCACTGACTGAAAGTCTTCGCATTGGAAAAAGCACCAGTTGAGTAGTTTGCCTTACTGCAGACTTGACGCTTGAATACTGGTAGTCCCGCTGGAGCTTATTGTGAGCTACCCCGAGAAGTGTTTGCATTAATGAAGTTTATTCCCTTACATTTCACCTACTTTATAATACAGATAATTGTGAATCTCTGGTTTCACATGACTTCACAGGGTCGATGTAGTCCTTCCGGATGGAGAAACTGTTAGGATGTAGTCTTCTGAAGACAAAATAACTACCTGAGAATGAATTGAAGGAATAGTCTATCCATGCACTAACTTCAAGGAGAGTTGTCCAGTGCGTGTAATGAATGCTGACGGATTGGTGGACGACAGAATCTCAGTGTGAATACTGAAAACTAATTTGGAAAGTGATATATATGGTCCTTAACAAAGGTTCAAATGTACTCTACAGAAATACCCCCTGTTTAATTCAAAGCTACAAATCATGGTCATTAGAAGTAGATCGGCACAGTGTGATATGTAATACTGTCATATGCATAGTATTCATGAATTTAATGAGCGAATATTCAGACAGTAGTGGTTCTCAATCTAGTAAGTTTACATCATACTGACACGTGACTGAATGACAGGCTAAAGTATGCATTTTTAGAAAAGTGCCACTGTTCAACAGTTCGAGAAAGCACAAATGTAGGGAAGAAAATGTAATGAAACTAAAACAAGCGATGTGCAAGTGACAGAACGGTTAAATAAAATTAATGGAGCTTCTTAGGAATTGAAAAATAACGAGTGAATACACCTGCATAGTTGTGTAGCCTTCTGAACCACATCATCAAGAAGTCACAACCACTGATTACAAATATCCTAAGAATCACACACGAGGGATCCCGTTAGTTTGGGTGTACTACTCAGTAAATCAGAACTTCCATTTGTTCTTACCTTAAAAATTTAATTAGCCAGATTGAGCAATCTATGAAATGTACACAAAAACAACTAGAATATTTTGTTAGACTCGCTGGCGTTACAGCTAATGATGTCGAAGTATTGATATTAGAATAACAAGTACCAAAGTTATGAAATAACTTACGTCCCACTACGAACTTCTGAAACGACTGACGGTCTAATTGCGCTAGGGCAAACAGGAACTCTCTGAACAATCAGATCACGTGGATGAGTCGTCCACTGAGAGCCAGACGGCATTAAAAGTAACGGTAAATCTTCTTCTGGGATTTTTGAAAACAATTGCAGGGCTCTTCCGGGTCGTATAATCTCCTACAACGGAAAAGCCATGAGTAATATAATACAACGCCTTCAACTTGCAAATAAAACCAAAGCACCTAATTGTTTTTGATATTTGACTGTAATGGTCACTGAAGTGTACAGAAACCTGCGTTGCAACGTTACATTTTTTGTTTCTCTGTTAATTACTCAAATTCCACTGGCATGAAATATAAACTTATAAACTGACAGTGTGCAGCTTCAAATAGTCACAATACGTTTTCTTCTTTAACATCATGTCTTCAAAAAGTAGCTATGATTATGACTTCACAACCTACTAGAAAACACTCCAGAACTCACAAACAAGCTCTTTTTGACCTTACTTCCGAAACGTATTCAGTTCATCCGTGTCTGCAAAAATATCAAATAGAACAAACTGAAATATCCCACAGATTCTCAGAGACTACGCCATGGGATACAGTGTACAACGATCACCGTAAAATGTCGATGAATTTAAAACCCTTGAATATCGTCAGTAACAAAACTCCGTTAAAGATTTCACAACTGCATAACAGAAACAGTATTCCAGGAGTGAGTTCAGACACATTGCATGAATACTGAAAGTAGTTTGTTCATTTAAATTACGTCTTATAAAATAAGTATCACTCCATTATTGACCGAAAACAAATAGCAACAAAAACCAAATAAATATCAAATTCTCCAAATAGACCTCATTGTTATAAGTTACGTAGACTTCGCCGGTGTAACAGGTACTTACCAGACCTTTCCGAATAACCTGTGTTAGCTCAGAATTTTCTGCAATCACACTTGAGAATTCACAGACATATTCCTCAACTTTTGTTTTTGCGTGACGAAACATGTCATGAACGACATATGAAAGACTAGTGCCTTTCGTAACAACTCCTAAAAAGTATATAAGCGCACCCAATAACAAACCATTCAGAGCTGAGCAGAATGGACAAACATGCACCCTGCTAGCCAACTTATGTATTGCTTTCCGAAGCTGTTTTTTATGTACATATTCCAAGTTAGGGTTTGAACAGCTCACCAAAAACTTATTACGCTGTTGTTCAGGCAGAAGGACCCGAGAGCAAGTCTGAAAATCAGATTTTAAGGACTTATCTGTTTTACTTTGCAAATGGATTGTAGTATTTTTACGATGTGCCATGTATATCCAACATGATATATCGGTGTTGGTAGATCAAAGTATCCCCAGTGTCCAATACATGTTTGGTAATCCAGGCCACAAGTGGCACACAATTCGTCCCTTTTGTTTGCTCCGAGTCTCAGATCTAAAAGACCGTAGTCTATGGCTTTTCTGCTGCTTTGTTCTTCTCCATATAGAAGACATTTTAAAACTTGAACATGGCTTAACCTTTTCAAGTCACCTTCACTACAAAGCTGGAATTTTATGTTTTTTCTACAAAATACTGTAAGAGTGGAACGTGACATACACAACCCTAGGTAGATCAGGAGGCTTGTACAGAGTCGGCATTCATTCACGTTGTACCGGACGCTTTAAATGTGGCTCCGTTCTAGTTTTCACAATCCACAATACATCACAATATCACGGCGAAGATAAAATTCTTCTTCGGCAGATTCGCTGAGACTTCTAGTTCGAATAGCTAGTGAAAAACTTGATTTCGCTGCTCCTGACTCCTAGTGGTGATGTTACGATTCCTGATCTTCGGGGAACTTCTGACTGTTCAATGCCCCCCAATCACCTGCTATAACTTTAATGATTATCGGATAGATTCGGAATCTGGTTATACTTGAAAGATACTTAGTTTTCTGCTTTAGGTTCGTGGTACTGATATAAGAGAGGTTTCTTCTGTTGTTCGGTATTTCATAAGAAAATGAAATGACCGTGGTAATAACAAAAGCGGTTTCTCGGAGGAAACATACATGAATAAATAATCCGGGTAAGCAGAAGAGTAAGACGAGAGAAACTGCAAATTCCAGGCGAAAAAGTGGAAGCGCATTTTAGATTTTGACTTCTAAGGAGCTCTTCTCTGTTTAGTGCCACTATAGAAGAGTCACTTAAGTATTTTGGAGCCTTAGAAAGATAACCGAGTAGGGTTCATCCAGCCACCAAAGCTTGACTTCTCACATTTTAAGTAATAAGGCATTCCCTTGACTATTGCCCAGTCTTACAAATAGTCATATCGAAAGGGAATATTCTTGTGAGATCCAAAAGTGTGATAACAACTAGTCAACATAAATTCTGGAAAGGCTCAGGAGTGAAATATGTGGAGGAGGCTATGTTAGTAGATCTTCAATTTGATTGACCTGATAAAAATAGGAACAGCAAAAAGAAGAGAATAACAGAGTGTCTTGCCAGTGATTGTTGAAGGCTTGCAACTTTAATTGATTTGCTTGATGATGAAATCAATGAATATAACGCATCACATACCTTTGAATAATCATCCAATGTTGAGTGATGATTGCTGTGGTTTGTGGGTTTGTGAGGACGCTAAAACAGAACCAGCTAGAAGTAAAAAATCTCGATGGTTCCCTTATGGGTGAAAATAACTCTTCCGAGTGGCTTGGTGGAGTGCCTACTGGTCTGTCTGTCTATGCTAATATGGTGTCTGTACATGGCTTCCTCGATGTTGTTCGTTGGATTCCATGCTTCGTTTGTTTCTTGTCCAGTGCCCGTCACACCTGGTAAAGAAACCAAGAATGCTAAGAACCTTGTCGAGGAAAACGTACCAAATCAGCATTTTTTTAAATGATGTCCATCTACTATACAGTAAAATAATGTAAAGTTTAAAACATCGAAAAAAATATACATCTAATTTATTTTATTAAGTGCACGTATAATGTATGGTTATAGGAAACAAAAATCTTATACCTGTCTTTAGTGATGCTACATAAAAAAGTTGATGTGTTTGAAAAGAAATAATGATTAACACCACAAACGAATGAGTTGGGTGAATCGCACCACTGAGTTATGTGATATAGGTGTGAAGGTATTCTGGAAATCTTACGTGACAGCAAGAATGCATTCTGTTAGAGGGCTCGACAGAAGGTTCAATGGCCTTCGCCGTGCTAGGGAGTTCTCCGAAGACTAAAGGATTTTCGATTACCTGTGGATTATCGATTACGTTTAGCTCTAGGCTAATAGGATAACCTTCCAAGTAAGTCGGTTTCTGAAGGTCAATGCTGACGGTGTCTTCGCGGCCTTATTTGTCTAAGACAAAAATTTATCCGTACGTTTAATTACTTTATATGGTCCGTCATACGGGGGTGCCAGAGGGCGACGCACTGAGTCGCGACGAACAAATACGTGTGAAGACGTTTCAAACTGGGGGAACGAAGACATCAATGGACTGTGGTCGAAGCGGAGCAGGTTTAACCCAGCGCATTACGTTTGTAAGCCTACTGACGTATGAGGAGTGATCTACCGCTGGTGGGAAGCTCAAGGGAGAAACAAACTCATCTGGCAGTCGTAGTGTCGTGCCAAATACTAGCTCAGCAGTAGTACAACCAGCATCGGTTTTTAAAGCGTTTCGTATCCCTAGGAGAACTGACGGAAGGGATTCAGTCCAATGAGTGTTGCTTGCAGCTGTGAGATCCTCAACCATTAGCTTGAGGATCGTGGGCTGTTGTTCGAAAACGCATGCAACCAAGGAATTTAGTCAAAGCGAAGAATAAGCCGATTTAGAATTGCCGCCCGCGATCAGTTGTTATGGAAGATGGGCATCCAAAGTTTGCCATCCATCTGTCTACAAAGACGCGTGCGACGGTCTCAGCAGATACATCTTTGAGGGGTACTGCTTCAGGCCATCGTGTGAAGCGGTCGATGCAGGATAACATATAGGCATATCCATGAGATTCTGGAAGGGGTCCGACTAAATCTATGTGGACGTGTTCGAAACGAGCATCAGGGATAAGACAGATACCAAGGGGCCTTTTGGTGTGTCTCAACACCTCGCACTTTTGGCAAGTTAAGCAAGTGTGTGCCCATTCTCTTACTTCCTTATTAGTACCAGGCCAACAAAACCGACTAGTTACGAGTTTGACGGGAGTTCGAATACCTGGATGGGATAAGCCATGCAACGTATTGAAAACGTTACGGCTACAACTTTTAGGCACGATGGGGCGAGGAGTACTAGTGGAAATGTCGCAGAGAATAGTATCTTTCCCCATACCTTAAGGGTTTCTTGGCTAAGTGTAGAGTTGTTTTCGACAACTCATGCTGAAGCTCGGTATCTTCTTCTTGAAGACGAGCCAGTTTTACAAGGTCTATGCCGTCGATTTGGGTGAAGGAAGAAATGCGCGACAAGGCATCTACCACAGTGATTTTCGCCCCGGATATATGGCGAACATCCGATGTAAACTGTGAAACTTAATCCAGTTGTCGTGATTCCCTGGGTGAATTGTAGGTGCCTCGAGAAAAAGGCGAGTGGTTGCCACTCGTTGTTAACTGGTTGTTTCAGAACTGCGCTGATTGCAGTGTCTGATGCGTCAACTGAGATACTTAACGGTGCCGTTGGATCCCGATACACAAGAAGGGTGGCATCCGCAATAGCTTTTTTACCTGAGTAAAAGCATTTCCAGCAGACGCGTCAAGTCCGATGAATTTACTGTTACCTCGAAGAAGGTCTGTCAATGGCTGAATCAGAGAGGCAAAGTTGGGAATAAACCGTCGGTAATAACTTACCAAGCCGTTAAAAGTGCGAAGACTTTTCACTGTTTGTGGCTCTGGAAAGTTCCGTATCGCCTCGACTTCAGTAGCCAGTGGGCGAACGCCTTTGCAGTCAATAGTATGGCCCAGAAAGTCGAGTGAGTCAACGCCTATTTGACACTTTTGAATATTGATGGTAACACCATGTAGGCGTAACCTTTCGAATGCCAAGTCCAAGTGTCTAAGAAGAGTTTCCTTATTTGGACTGGTAATGAGGCACTCCTCTAAGTATGCGTATACAAAGTCGAGACCGCGAAATACTTCGTCGATGAAGCGTTGGAATGTTTGGGCCGCATTCCGGAGGCCGAATGGCATACGTAGGAATTTGAAAAGTCCGAAAGGTGTGATGATAGCCGTTTTCGGAATATCTTCCGCTGCCAGTGGGATTTGGTTATACGCTTTAACCAAGTGAACTTTAAAGAATATGGTCGAGCCAGATAACGTTGCCGTCATGTTGTGTATGTTAGGCGAAAGGTCTCACTAAAGTGAGACAACTTTGTGGAACTTCCATCTAGCCTGTATGTTTCACTTGATAGGATCCCACACACTTTGTTATTGTTCAATTATTTTAACGACTGTTAATCTCGCATAAGTGGAATATCGTCAATTCTCACGCACTTTGTTATTGACTATTACGACCAATTATTTCAAATACTGTTAGCTGTCTGTATTGGTTGTAAAAATGTATAAATACCATTTCCTAAATAAGTCTCTTTGTCGTAGTTTGTCGTAGTTGTTGTACTACAATACACAGTCACAGACCAGACTTTGTCTTTTGATATTTGCGTGGTTCGTTGAATCGTGAGGTACCAGAAGCAGATAGGCATATTAGTCAGGCGCAGACAGAACAAGGCGACAACGTCCTCATTTAATTCCGCTACAGTCACAACACACTCTAATATTTTTGTCCCTCAGACCACTATCAAAGTATCGTCAAATGTATTCTAGCAGTATGATTCAATGACACAATTACTGGCAGTTAGTAATATTATATATGCGTAATATCCATGATATTTTCTGCACCATTAACGTGCTCCACATATCAAAAAAGTGTAAACCATGATGACTGAATTTGTTGGATACTTAAGTCATGCATGTTAATTATGTAAATGCTTAATTTATGTAAGTGAATTTAATCTGTATCACTTTTAGGAATTTTGAGTCGTAATGAGGCCTGTCAATTAATTAAATTCAGTGGAAGCAGATGTAGTCGCATTCGGACAAAGACATCCGAAAACCACTGACGAGTATTTTACGACTTATGACCAGATACATTTGCATGATCAGTTGTAGGAATTGATTCTACATACAACAGCAAGTGAACATAAGTTCGCTCATTCACTTATAACCTTGTAGATATTCTTTTTTCCAGTTTCTGATACCGGATAACTTCGGATGTGGGCATATAGTTCTGTTTACTTGAATTGCGGAAGAATTTGAAGGTGATGCATTTTGGACACTGGGAAGTTTCCGTCGAATAATGGGAGATACTTCTCAAATGAAGACTTTCATCTTTGTTTGTGCACAGTCCATACATGTTAATAAACTTTTTTGCGTTGCAGTGAAATAAAATTTTCCATCTAATATTCTTGTGTTCTATTTGTTCTGCATGCGGTGGTAGTACGGCACTCACCGTGAGACGCTACAAGACCATCTCTGCTCTATGGAAAAGCTGACTGTGATAAAACGTGAAGACTCGCCCAACGCAGAATGGCCTACACACTGGGCCTAGTTATCCATGGAGGAAAATTGGCAGTGGCAAAAGAGATTATTCACAAAGCGATCTCAACTACCTTCCCTTTAGTCACAACAAGGCCAAAGAAAAGACCCTCATGGCTGAAGA